GTGTATATATGTGACTATTATCGTGGTGCCAAGGATAAAATTTAACTTTTAATAAAAAGACCAAATTGTTACATTGAGCCCTTATCCCTTTAGAGTGTTTCTCTTTTTTTTTAATTTAAAAAAAAAATATATTTCTTTTATTGATTTCAGAGAGGAAGGAAGAGGGAGAGAGAGAGATAGAAACATCAATGATGAGAGAGAATCATTGATCGGCTGCCTCCCTGCACGCCCCCTACTGGGGATGGAGCCCGCAACCCAGGCATGTGCCCTTGGCCGGAATCGAACCTGGGATCATTCAGTCCGCAGGCTGACGCTCTATCCACTGAGCCAAGCAGGCTAGGGCTAGAGTGTTTTCTTAAGTGTTCTGCATTTGTTCTGGTTATGTTGCTACTGCTCAGAGCATTATAGAAAAATCTATAGGGGAAATGGCTCCCTGAATCTGAGATTGAGGGTAATCCATGATGGTGAGCTTTCTTTTAAAGGTGAATTGAATTTTAGGAGTGAGCAATGTTATGTGTTGCCAAGTTTGACTAAATGGATATAAAAGAATGAGAATAAGTTACTTTAATCTGAAATTAGTTTAAAAAGTGTTTGAACAATGTGAACTTTGAAGTAATTGGATATATGACCTTTATATGTTGAAAATGTCAGCTCATGAACTTGTAATCGAACCGGACAGATACTGAATGAGGGCATAGGGTAAAATTAAGGATCTGTAAATGCTTGGGGACATTTGTTGCCTCAGTAAAGGACCTAGCCTTGAATGTTGCAGTTGTTAATTACACTCTATATTAGGTAGTCTTTGGAAGGATTAGAAAGAGAGAGAGAACTCCAGAACTTACTTACCTACTGGTTGTGAGTTTGTATGGACCCATACACAACGAATCTCCAATTTCCCCCTCCTGATAGAGTAGTTAGCTCTACCTTAGCAATCATATTGCAATATATGAATGTATCAAACCAGCACATTGTACACCTTCAACTATGTTATATGTCAAATCTCGATTTCAAAAAAGGAAAAGGATGTTTTGGTATTTCTGCCTTATATTCAACCATAAGCATGGAGACTTTCATTTTTCCCTACTTGGACATTTCTTACAAGGTATTCTAATACATTTTAGGATTTCTTATGATATAATCATGAGTATTAAAGGACAAAGTTACATATAAGTAATGTATTTTTCATAAAAACCAATGTCAGAAATTGGTTTTGGCATAGCAGTGGCATTTCAAAGAAGAAGTTAATATAATCCCTTTTTGGGAAGCATTTACTTAATTATATGTCATTAAGTTTTAGGCTTCTTGAGGACTGTTAAAAGAAACTGAAAGTGAATTAAAATATATAATATCCAGTCTATTAAGTAGTAGCTAAATGGAGACTAGGCTGTCTTTACATGTGAGAAACCTGAAGATAGCCACTGATATGGCAATTATAGGACATACTAAAATCACTAGTGTCTAAAACAGCGGTTCTCAACCTGTGGGTCGCGACGCCTTTGGGGGTCGAACGACCCTTTCACAAGGGTCGCCTAAGACCATCGGAAAACACATATATAATTACATATTGTTTTTGTGATTAATCACTATGCTTTAATTATGTTCAATTTGTAACAATGAAATTGGGCGTCACCACAACATGAGGAACTGTATTAAAGGGTCGCAGCATTAGGAAGGTTGAGAACCACTGGTCTAAAAGCTCAGAAAACCAAATTCTATGGGGAAAAAAATCACAGAAATGTTGTTAACATACTGATACTCTGAGGTGAAATCTTGTGTGCATTCTTTTCACAGGCTAAGAGGAGGCATAAAAAAGACTTGGCAACCAGTGACTCCAAAAAAACTACAGAGAAGCTTTTGAAAACATTTTTGAAAAGACAAGCTATCAAAACTGCCTTAAGAAGCAAAAGGTCAGAGGGAAATTACATTAATTTCAAAGATTAATTTAAGCCTTTAAAATTTTGGCATTGGATTTCTGTGTCTGCCTTTTCCTAATTTTAACTCACAGCAGGAGAGAGAGAGTAAAATGAGAGGAATAAGTGGGATGTCCCTTTGACCTAATAATTTGAAGTTTTGGAAATTCTCTGTTCGTGTGAATTAGCTTTGATGAGAAAGAAAAGCTGTAGTGTTGCCCTGCATGCACGTTTTACCTTTATAAGGTTTTTTCGTGTCTACACTTCATGCTGTGACCCAGGCTCTGAGGCACGGCAGTAAGTTTCCTCTTTCTCTAGGCTGTACTTATTTTTCACAGCAGTGGCCCGGGCAGCCGTTGCCCCTGTGTTTCCCCTTTTGCAGCTCCTCAGCATGGTTTTTGTAATCAGTGGGCGAGTACTATTGATTCAAAGTGCTATTTCCTGTCATCTCTGTTTAAGCGTGTGTGTACTTTGCAGAGATGAAGCACTACCCAGTCTTACTCAAGTTAAAAGAGAAGATGACATCTATGCTTTGCCACCTTTACAAGAGGAAGAAAAAAATAGGTAAATGTTTATTTTAAAATATTTATTATCACTGTATTCAGACAGACTTAACCCTTTATGTTTAATCTACATGTTAAGGCATGAGGAAATTAATGCATCTATAATATGCATTCTTGACACGGTTTAGAATATTTTTCAAAAGTAAATTTTTTATTGGTAACTAGTCTTTGTGTTTTGGTGGTTTGTGATGGTTTCTTTTTCTTTTTGTAGAGCCTGTACTAGGACTGTTGTTTTATAATTCACAAAACATGGATTTTAGTTTTTCTTACATTTTGATTATACTTGCTGTCTCTCCCGGTTTCTCAGCCTCATGTCTTCTCTCTCACATCACCATGCAAAAGACCACATACAACAATGTCCTTGCTAAGTCCAGTAGATGCTTTGCAGGTCTCAGTGTAACATGGTGCCTGCTGAGAACCTCTCTGGCCACTCTTTCTCAGGCTTTTTTGTGGATTCTTTCTGCTGGCTATGAATTGTCAGCGGCTTCTGTGGTTGAAGTGCAGGTAGAGGACCAGTTTGACTATGTCCTCCACCCGTCCTCATTTCTTTCTATGGGGCGCCTGAGAGGCCAGGTAACTTCTGAATCAGCCCAGTTCTCTTTATCTTCGTCACTGCCACTGTAATCTTGTCTCTAGGTTACTTTACTATACTGGCTTCCAAATCTCTTTCTGTCTCTAGTCTTACTCCTTTGTAGCAACCCCTCCCTGCGAAGCCCAGTCTCTGCTTTGTAGTGTAGAATAGAATCTATTAAATCCCAAATCTGATATTGTCGTTTCCTTGCTTAAAATACTTCCTAGCTTCTAATTTTGTTTTTTAAGGATAAAACTTCAACCCTTTAACCACATGCTTTTCTAAACAGTATAATTGCAGGAGATTCCAGAAAGCTTTCATGACATCCCAAATTCGGGTGAGGTGACTTTTATCATATTCTGGCCAACTTGCTCTTCCCTTGTGATGGAAGTTCTTAGGTCATATTGTGATTGCCCCCACCAGACTGTGAAACAGTGACGGGACATATCCTGCCATCTTATTCACCATTGTAGCCCCTACAGGTAGCAGTACCTTGAGCTCAAGAAATATTTAATCACACATTAAATATTCATTAAATCATTACATCGCACATATTGTAAATGTATGTTTGACTTTCAGCTCAGAAGAGGAAGATGAAAAAGAATGGCAAGAAAGAATGAATCAAAAACAAGCATTACAGGTATTTACATAATTTTCGAATTCGGAATTTATGCTGTTATTTGAAATGAATGGCATTAAAATGAATAATTTTAATGAGGTAGTATGAATTTTGAGAAGTGTCTTAAAAATAATGAAGATAAGTGCCTTTTTATTGTGTGTGTATGTGTATGCATGTGTATATATGTATATATAAAATACATGCATACACATATATATGGAATTATGCATAACTAGATATCCAAAATAAGCTGTTTTTCTTTTACAGCCTACCAACCAATAAATAAATAGAAATAGTTATATATGCTCATGTAAAATACAGCCACATACCACCCACAAATAACTTCTAGTAATACTTTGGCATATACTAGTCCATTCCCTATCCCTCATATGGTTGAGTGTGTGTGTATTGATTATATGTATGCATATATATGGAAATGTATGTCTTTGTATTATATGCTTCAGTTATCTATTGCTGTGTAACTTAGTGGCGTGAAAACAATCATTTATTATCATCTTTCACTGTTCAGGGGGTTGATGAAAGTGAGGCAGTTCCCTTTCAGTGCAGTCAGATCGTAGCTGGGGCTGGAGTCTCCTCAAAGGCCTTGCACGCTTAAATTCATAAGGTTCATCCCTGCCTTAGGGCCTTTACACTTGTTATTCTCTCTGGCTGAAATGCTCTGTCCTTAAGCAGGCTTTTTGTTATTTTTCAGATCCCTGTTCAAGGTCATTTTTTTAGTGGGCTCTTCTCTATTTTTCTCTTTCTACTTTTTTTAAATCTTCACCTGAGGATATGTTTTTATTGATTTTAGAGAGAGGAAGGGAGAGTGAAACATTGATTGGTTGTCTCTGTTACGTGCCCTGAATGGGAATCAAACCCGCAACCTAAATATGTGTGCTGATCGGGAATCGAACCCTACTACCTCTGGTATATGGTACAACACTCCAACTAACTGAGCCAGGTTGCTCTCTTTCTATTCTTCTAATCAACTCCCTTAGTAGAATAGCCTGCTTTATTTTCTCATTGTATCTTGTTTATTATATATCTTCCTTCACTCCTAAGAGTACGGACCTCATCTGGCATGATCTCCATAGTACTCTAGCTCCTGGAACAGTGCTTGTCACATTAGAGGTGCCTGGTAAGTAATTTTTCTTTTGAATGAATGAATGAGTGAATGAATATATTCCCTAATGTGCCATTCACTTTTAAGCCTATTGCAGATTACGTACAACTTTGTTTAGCCTATTGTAGATTATGTAGAACTCTGTTTATGATATAAGCACAAGATAACTCTGTCATGGTGAATAGCATTAAGTGTATGAAATGTTAATTTTATGGTGTTATGTTTTATTCCTTACAGGAAGAGTTCTTTCAGAATCCTCATGCAGTAGATATTGAGTCTGAAGACTTCAGCAGCCTGCCCCCTGAAATAAAGCATGAAATCTTGACTGATATGAAAGAATTTACCAAGAGAAGAAGGACATTATTTGAAGCAATGCCAGAGGTAATATATATGTAACAGCACATTAATGCATAGAATTGAGAACTGCAGAAACATTTTGCATTAGAAAAAAAAATCGACAAGCACTGTTTATACAATGTTTCCAGTAAACAGCATTTGTGAAGCATCATATACAGGGTGTCCCCCAGAAATGTATGCACTTTAACAGCTGATAGCTCAATTGATGTTTCTTTCTTTTCAGATTTAACCCAATGAAATTAATAATTATTCAAAGTGTGTATACATTTTATTTTAATTCTCAAATTTTTTATTTCATAGGTATTATATTTATGTAATCCACATACATATTAGATGTACATTTTGTTTTTTATGTATAAATACTCCACCCAGGTCAAGATATAGGGCATTTTCAGAACTTCAGCAAACATGGGATAAATACGTAAACAAATGCTCATAAGCAGAAGCCTACCTCTCTAGCCTCCACTGCCTTTTCTATAAACAATACACCTGAGCATAGAATTCTTCTATTTCTCTCTCTCTCTCTCTCTCTCTCTCTCTCTCTCTCTCTCACACACACACACACACAGATACACACAGAGATACACACATGCAAGAGAGAGAGAGAGAGAGAGAGCGCGCGCGAGCAGGGCTTGGACCGTACCACCAAGAACTCCTGCTTTGTGAGAAAGTCCCACCAGTGAGCAGCTGGATATAGAAATCAGGAAAAGGTTTCCAGTGACCTTGAAATCTCACCTACATGAGTCATTTATTTAAAATAACTGCCATGTTAACTCAATGGCTGCAGTTACAAACTCCAATATCTTTATTTAGACACTAAATCTAAGTGATCCCGGTACCTGCTCACACAGTTGCACAATCCCTTATGGTATAGGTTAAAATGGCATGGGATTTCTCTATCTATGAAGTGCTAAATCTTACACACAATCTCTTACACACAATTTCCAAGGGCCTGGCTCTTTCAGAAGGACCAGTCTTTCTTGTGAGCGCAGAATAAGCTACAATGTAGTTGTGAGAAAAAATGACTATGAGAGATCCTACTGGGAAAACACACATACACTAACAAGCTGCTTGCATATCCATGTTTTCTCAAAAAGTAATGAAGTCCAACTCACTTCCTAAATACAAGTCCATGTTTAGTTTGCACAGTAAGGACCTTTCCAGTGGATATTTAAATAGAAGACAATAATGTCTTGAACAGGCCAACTTCATTTTTTTTTTGTATACCTGATTCAACACATCAGCTTCCATCATGGTAATGCTTTGTTTAAATTTTCTGTGAAACAAAACAGCTGCTCTTGATGGAATAAAGTCACTACCAAAAAATTTTTAGAGAAAGATGTTTTTTGAGAGGAGAGGTTGATGATAAGATCTTACTCTTTAACTTGCTCATTTTTTAAAACTTTCACACCCTGTATTTATAAGTTTGAACTTGCAAATACTTACTCAAAGAAAGGTTTCTTGATTTTCCACCCAAGATCAGATCTTGTCTCCTGTTTGTATTTTCATAGTACCCTATAATTTCCTTTCATATTTTTTAGCACCCAGATATGCCTATCTTGCTCACTTCTGTATTTTCAACACCTAGCTTAGTATCTTTCCCATAGTCAATGCCCATTATATGCCTAGTGGTTCAATTCTTAGGTTAGTTCATAAAAGTTATTTTAACCCATAATATTCATTGTAGAATACGATAGTAATATAGAACCTAATCACATTGGAAAAGTTTGTTCTAACTGGAAATTCCACGTACTTCTTCCTCTGTTACAAGGCTGGAAATGCAGTTGTATCTCCATGTTTCCTCTTCTTCTTTCTGGACATTGGTAATAGGGAATTTAGTGGTAAATTCTTTAAATTAAAGCATTTGATAGTGACCCCATAGCCACAGAAACCCCCAGCAGGGTGGTGTATGGAGTTGGGTTTTATTGAGCATATCTCCTGATAATGCTACAACGTTAATTCTTACTATCTTTAGTTGGTGAGTTTTCTTTTCCTTTCTACTGCTACCACCTATTATTTCTAACATTGTTCTCCTTTAATTCACTGTAGGTCAGAATGTAAATTTTTGCAGCACTATTATTCCTAATGAATGGATTTGGTATTCTTTTTTCTGCAGACTTTTACCATTTTTAAAATTGATAATAAAATATGAAAAAGGCAGGAGAGACTTCATTTCTCTCACTCCTTTCTTTTTTTCCATGAAGAATGTGAACACAGGAAATAGCTAAGGTATACAGAAGTGGTATGCAAAGCACAGAAGTAAATTTATTTTTATTTCAGGGGAAAAATCCAGGCTCAATCTACCAATAAAGCATTTTGTTTCTTGAGTGTAAAAGGATCTTTGGCTGGTCTTTGAGGAAATAGCATTTGGATTATGTAAACAACAATGGGAAAGGGAGAAAGAGACAGTCCCTAATGACTTGCTCCACTTGCTTTTCTTTGCCACCACACAGCCTCTGGGATCTGTAGACTAGGGTAGTACAGCGCAGCGGCTCATTGAATGTGTAATTCTCACAGCTAAGGGAAGTTGTAAGTGATCCAGGTTGGGTCGTTGTGTCATCTCTACAGTGGGCAAATACAATTCATGCACCGGGCCTCTAGTATAGTATAAGGGTTAATCAAAAGATCTGCTTTTGATCCCAGATCTCTCACTTACTAGCTATGTGCTTCTAGGAAGGGTACTTAACCTATTTAAGTCTTAGTTTTTTCACTTTTAGATAGATTGGACATAATGATATTTGTCTCATCGGTGGTTGAGAATAAAATTGGATAATATATATAAAAGTACTTAGAAGAATGCCTTACACAGGAAATGCTTTGCAAATGTTTACTATTAATAACTGGTTGCTATGATTTATTGTTTATCTTTTGTGGGCCAGGGACTATGCTGGGCACTTTACTTGCCTATTTACTGACATTCTAGAAAGTTGTCTCATCTGTTAAGCCATAATAAAAATGTCACAGTGCCTGGCATGCATCACGTGCTCAAGCCATGTATTTTTAATGAGTGATTAAATCATAAACAGTAGCATGGTTTCTTTTGTTTTGCTCAATTCCTTTTGTTTTAAAGTTTATGTTATTGTTTTGTTCTAAGTTTTCAAATTTTACTTTTATAATATGAAAATACCACCAATGAAAAAAAATTAATTGCTCTTTGTTAACCTTTTGGGAAAGAGATGGATATGTGGTAATATCTGTATTTAATATAAATTCATTTTGCTTGTTTGCTTTAGGAGTCCAATGACTTTTCACAATACCAGCTCAAAGGCTTACTTAAAAAAAACTATCTCAACCAACACATAGAAAATGTCCAAAAGGAAATGAATCAGCAACATTCAGGACAAATCCAAAGGCAATATGAAGATGAAGGGGGCTTTTTGAAAGAGGTGGAGTCAAGAAGAGTGGTCTCTGAAGACACTTCACATTACATCTTGATAAAAGGTATTGGGCACCATCATTTATTTGATAGTTAAAAACCAAAAATGTGTTGTGTCTCTGAACTCTATAAACTACCATCCCTGGATAATATTAATGAAACCTACTTATGTAATAATAATTGTGTAAGTTATTAATGGATTACCTATTTTAATGGGTTGTACCAACCCACTTTAATATTAACTAATGAGTTAACTTTTTAATTGCTGATTAAATGAAAATGTGTAACTCCATATATGAGAATCAGTATACTCTTGTTCATGTTACTAGAAGTATTATACTGTAAATCTACATAGTTTTACTTTTTCTTAAGGTATACAAGCTAAGAAAGTTGCAGATGTGGATTCAGAGTCTTTTCCATCTTCCAGCAAAATGCACAACACGTCTTTTGACATAAAGTCATCTCCATGTGAAAAACTGAAGCCAGAGAAAGAGCCTGATGCCACCCCTCCTTCTCCAAGAACTGTACTGGCCATGCAAGCTGCCATGTTGGGCAGTAGCTCCGAAGAGGAGCTGGAGAGTGAGAATCAAAGGCAGCACAATAAGAGGAATGCGTTTACTGCTGGAGATGGGGGCTCCGTATCACCACTGACTCTCCTGGCTATTCAGAAAGCTCTGGATGATGATGAAGACGTGAAAGTGCGTGCTGGGAATGATGTGCAGACTGGAGGGTCAGAAGCCAAAAAACTGGTTATGAGCAGTTCTGATGAGGAAACTGATGAAGGACTTCAAACAAGAGATAGAAAAGGAATGCTGTTGACAACAGTGCCTCATTCAACCAGTGTGAACTTTGTAGAGGAGCGTGTAACCTGCACTAATAATGAAAAAGAGGTAGCCGACTCACCTCCTTTGTCAAGTACTGTCTTTTGTGAAGGCAGTGAAGCTAACATTCCAAAAGAACAAATGTCATTTAGTCACGGGGTTAACAAAGCCTTTCAGACAAGTGATGAGCCTACGGTTAATGATAGGAAAGATTCAGTTCCTTTAGAAAACACAGTGGTTATTCACGTGAATGCACCTGGGCTCCCGAGTGGAGGAGAACTGACATCAGCACCTCCTGTAAATCCAAGTTCTGTATCAGAGAATGAAACATACACCAAAGTGCTGGAGATACAACAAGATCTTTGTCCATCTGAGGTTAAATATGATTCTTCTGTTATTTCAAGTAACGATGAATGTGAAAAAAATCCTGCTTCTAAAGTTATTGCTACTGTCAGTTTACAAGGAACACGTAACACACTAAGTATCCCATCAGAGGCAATAAGTAACTTAGAAAATGCTAAAGAGCATGAGAATTTCCTGAAAACCATCCAAGAATGTGAGACAATGGAATCTTCAGGCCAGGATTTAATTTCAGCTCCAAAGTCTATGGAACCAATGGAAATCAACTCTGAGGAAAGTGAATCTGATGGTAGGTGCTTACTCTGTTCTCTTTTAGAGATAAGAATGGTGGTACTTCACCTTTGTGGGAACTGAGAGATCCTTTATTGTGGTCCAGTTGCCACTCTGTTCAGTTGATGACCTAGAGACCCGGAAAGGTGAAATGACTTTCCCAAGGGCACACAGCTAGTGATGGAATCTTGACCTTTCCTGTTTTGTTATTCTTTTTGTATTTATTTTTAAATGGAGGGAGTACCCAAATTGGAGAAGATAAAAAGTTTCCTTTCAGTTCTTTTAACTTTATTTTGAATTAATTACAAACTTAAAGTCAAAAGAATATTATAGAACATTCTGATTCCTTATCCAGTACCTCAGTGGCTAGCATTTACCACATTGGCTTTATCATATCTCTCTATGTATATTATATATCTATATCTATTTCTGTATACATTTTTATACAGCCAAACACCATTATTTATAGATTCCGTATTTGTAGAATTTATTTGTAACCCCAGAATCAATACTACCCACACTGTTTGTGGTCATTGGTGGACATGCATAGAGCAGCTAAAAATTTGAGTTGCCACACTGTTCCCAGCTGAGGTTGAGCAAGGTGACACTCTGCCTTTTTGTTTCAACTCTCCTACACAGACCAGAGGGTGGAGATGGGAGAGAGCAGTGCAGTGTAGATCAAGAAGCTTTGGCTCTAGGGCCAGTTGGACAGGTTTGATTCTCAGCTCAGGCACCAGTTATTAGGGTGGCCTCAGGCAAGTCTTTTAACACCTCTAAACTTTGTTTTCTTTTTGTAAAATAAAGAAAACAGTTTACCAAGATGGGTTGCTTTTAGGATTTAGAATTATAAATCTATTTCCTCGAGGTACAAAGTTTCAGTATTCATGTATTTAGTGTTCTCAGTGACTTTATTTACAGAACATAAATGCTGCAAATAAGAAGAAATGACTGTGCAGCTCCCTCAACTCCCCCTCCCTCCCCTACACATACACCTGGTAATTTATTTTCCTAGTGTCTGCCAGGTTACTCCATTTGAAAGTTGGTATTTCCCCTTTGTAATGAGGAAGTATTTTATGGAAAGGAGTATTGGGGGCTACATAAATATGCTGTTACTAAACAAACCTTCACCCACTCTTTTTAGCATCCATTGAAGATTTTTACCTGAATAAATTATGCTATTATGGTTGCCAAATGGGGGTTTTTAAACTCTGTTTCTTATATATTGTTGGCATCCAACTATAAGGAAGATCATTCCCTTCTCCCATTTATTTATTGTATCAGTCTAAACTCATGGATTCCTATTTTATCTAGAAGTTATGGTACTACCATACTTTACTTTGTTGTTTGAATTGTCTCAGCTTTGGCCTGTAGCTAGTTTGTCCCTTCAAGCTGGCTCCTGTGACTTTTGACAATTACCCATTATATTTTGAGCATTTCTTTACTTCCTGGACAAGATATTCCAGGTTTACCTTGTACTTTCCCTGCCCTTCCCTGAAACCAGCCATTTTGCCAAAGAGCCCTGGTTCCTTGTAATGGCATGATGTTTAGAAACCAAGATCTGTTATTGGAGTATCATTGCTTCAGGCCCTCTTAGCAGCAAAGCCAGGACATATATTTATACATACACACGTGCACGCACACATCTAATTTATCCCTATCTATATATTAAAATCCATAAATTCACACTGATATTGGCACTTCCAGTCCAACATCACAGATTTCATTCTAGTCTTTACCTTCTTTGAAATTTCCCTAACAGTGAGGAACCTTGCTCCCATTATCTTCAACATGGGTACTTATTTGCTTATTGTCTTTATAACCATCTCCTGATCCCAGTGGCCTCTTCCTTGGCTTAGGCTGTTTCCTCACCCCAGGCCTCTGGCCCTGAGAGCCCTGCCCCCTCCATCCTGATTGTGCCCTCATACCCCAGCCCACTGTGCCTGAGGGATGGAAGGGAATCACAGTACTTTTTAAAGGAAAGACCTGAGAGGAGGAAAAGCAAGTGGAAGAGGAAGAGCTGTTTCTCTTGAGTACTTATCCAGGATTTTTCCCCCACTATATCATAGCTTTATTCTCTGCTATTGAGTTGGGTTGTTTTCCTGAGCAGGATGCAAGGGTGATTTCTTTCCTGGGTTCTTGTCCGGATGGATTCGAAGAATGAAGCCACGGACAAAAGGTGGTAGATCAAAGGGTGGAAATTTACTGGAAGCGAGTATAGACTGCCACATAGGAAGGGGGTCTCAAGGGGGTAACCCACCAAGCTCGTTTTTGCTAAGGTTTATAAAGGTGCAGTTCTTTGTCTCTTCATACTCCCTTCTAAATGGTCACTCTTGCAGACTATCCACTTTAAAGCCCAAACCCCACGTAGTGTCTCCCTCCTTCTCTCCCTCTTCAGTGGTAGAATTCTCTATCTCTTGTGAAAATCTGTTTTCCTCTTTCTCCCATATGTCGGCATTTCTCTATCCTCTGAAAGTTTGTTTCCTCTTTCTCCCCATACCCTGTGGCTTTTCCCTATCTTCTGTGAATGGATGTCTTCCTCTCTCTCCTTATCCTGTGGCACCTCTTTTTTTCTCTTCTCTGTGAATGTATGCCTTCTGGCAGCTCCAAGTCCCCACCTATGCCTTCCTCCCCCATGGATCTTCTTTATTCCTAAAACTCCCTAAATCTGCCCATTTTATCCCTAAAACTCCTTTCACTGTGTTCATAGTGAAATTGCATAAAACTTTAACAACCTCTGTGATTGTTTATATATCCAGAAATTCTTCTTTTTGAATTTTAAAACAATAATAGTTAATTTAAAGAACATATTTGTATAAAGTTAATATGCAAATATTTGAAAGCTTGGTTCCTAATTAAAGATAGTGCCAGTTTATTTCATTGAAAAGGCTTATTTTGAAGTTATAGGCATCTCTCATTAAATTTATTTAATAGTAATATGCTACTGTCACCTGTTTTCTATTACATTTAGGTCTTTTCTTTTTAGGGTAAACAATTTTTCAGAATATTTTGGGAAGCCATTGATGATTTCAGGATAATGTTAATGTTTCAGTTGTAGATAAAGTGACCTTATTATTTTGGTACAGGAAGTTTCATTGAAGTACAGAGTGTACTTAGTGATGACGAACCTCAGACTGAGTTAGCAGAAGCTTCCAAACCTTCCTCTGGACAAGGTGAAGAGGAACTGATAGGAACTATGAAAGAAGCCACCGGTGACTCTGAGAGCCTCCTAAGAGACAACTCTGAAAGTGAGCCTTTGGGTATTGAGCCACATGAAGAAACTGAAAATGATGCAGATGATTCGCTCAATGAATGGCAAGATATTAATTTGGTAATAATGTTATGTCACGCTTTAACTTATTGTTAAGGAAGCCATGTTAAGTAGCTTTTGAGTTTTAAGGAGTTACTAGATGAATATTTATTAGCTATTTGCATGCATTTTTTTGTTCTTGCTGATGGTTCCTCTTATATGTAGGTTATTGTCTGGGAAAGTCTCCACTTTTGCTGTGATTTAGTGACTTGTTCAGAAATCCAAGTAATCTTCATAAGGGGAGAACTTATTTGTAATTTCAGATTAAGTGCAGGTTTTTGTAACAAATGAATTGAATTGGATTATTAATATGATTATCTACAAGTGAAATTATTTTGTAGGAGGAGCTGGAAACTCTGGAGAACAACCTTTTAACACAACAGAATTCTTTGAAAGCTCAAAAACAGCAGCAAGAACGGATCGCTGCTACTGTTACAGGACAGATGTTTTTGGAAAGCCAGGTACGTTTACCAACTTGGCCCTCTTTTTTTAAAAAAATATTTTTCTTGCTTTTAGAGAGGAAGGGAGAGAGAGATAGAGAGATAGAAACAACAATGATGAGAGAGAATCATTGATTGGTTCCTGCATGCCCCACACTGAGGATCGAGCCCGAAAACTGGGCATGTGCCCTGACTGGGAATCAAACCATGACCTCCTGGTTCATAGGTTGATGCTCAACCACTGAGCCATGCTGGCTGGGCTCCAACTTAGGCCTCTTTTAATAATATCTATTGATATTTTTACTCATTCAGATTCCCTGAGGGAATGCATTTAATAAAATGTGTAAGCACTCCTTCCATTTCTGGGTCAAGGAAGGTACTGCATTTCAGTAGTGTCATTGTTTATCTGTAACTCTTTAGGAACTTCTTCGCCTGTTTGGAATTCCATACATTGAGGCTCCCATGGAAGCAGAGGCTCAGTGTGCCATTCTGGACCTGACTGATCAAACTTCCGGAACAATCACTGATGATAGTGATATTTGGCTGTTTGGAGCACGGCATGTGTATAAAAACTTTTTTAATAAAAATAAGTTTGTAGAATATTACCAATATGTGGACTTTCACAATCAGTTAGGTAAGACTTCAGAGTATGATTACTTTTCTGAAAATTACCTTTAGAATTTGTATTGTACTTTTTTCTTTCTAAGGAACTAATTTGATGCATTAATAGAAATGATAGGTCTGTACAATTTTCATATAAGTGATCTTTTGCTTATTAGAGGAATAGGATTTTTAAATTAGGTTTAAGAAATTAAAATCCTAGTATGAGTCAGTGTTTTTGCAATGTAATCATCTGACCTGTTTAAACTTTGGTTACCTGAGATCTTGAGAGTGAACCAAAGGTGGTAGTGAGAGAAGGCAGGTGGGAGTCTCTCCTGCTGGATTCATGAACTTCATGGCCCTATACTGGTGTTTCTGGAAGTCTTTCTCCCATTTATCCAACAAGTATATATTTTATATTTAGTGATTTCTATGTGCCAGTTGTTTTTGGCAATGAGGAAACAGCAAGAATAAAACCGTCTTGCCCTAACCGGGTTGGCTCAGTGGATAGAGTGTCGGCCTGCGGACTGAAGGGTCCCAGGTTCGATTCTGGTCAAGGGCATGTACCTTGGTTGTGGGCACATCCCCAGTAGGGGGTGTGCAGGAGGCAGCTGATCAATGTTTCTAACTCTCTATCCCTCTCCCTTCCTCTCTGTAAAAAAATCAATAAAATATATATTTTTAAAAACCCGTCTAATAGAAACATGATAAAAAGCAAATCATAATTGCACAGTTAGTGGTATGTGCCATATAGAAAAATAAAGAAGTGAAAGAGAGGAGAGAGTCACAGGAAGTGCATGTACTGTTTTATGTAGAGCTGTGGTTGGGAAAGGCTTTACTAATAGGTAACTTTTGGACTGGGGCCTAAAGGAAAGCAAAAACTAGTATTTTAGATATCTTGGAGATGAGCATGTCAGACAAGGGACTAGCATGTGCAAAGGCCCTCAGGCACAAGACTCAAGTTTGGTTGGTGTGTTCTGTAGAATCAAGAGGTTGTTATGTATTGAATTATGTTCCCTCAAAATTCATATGTTGTAGGCTTAACCCCCAGCACCTTAGAATGTGGCTGTATTTGGAGATAGTGTTTAAAGAGGTAATTATTAAATTAGGTCATTAGTGTGGGCCTACTCCAATCTGACTTGTGTCCTTATATGTAAAGGAGGTTGGAATATAGAGGAAAGAGGGAAGACCATGTGAAGACATATGGAGAAGATAGCCATCTATCTGTAAGTTAAGGAGAGAGGCCTTCAGGAGAAACTAATCCTGCCAACACCTTGATTTAAGACTTCTAACCTCCCAAACTGAGGAAATAAATTCCTGTTGTTAAGCCATTTCGTCTGGTCACTTGTTGTTACAGCCTGAGCAAACTAAGAAAGCGAGGCCTGTGTGAGTGAATGAGGAGGAGAATGGCAAGAGTTAATATCAGAGAGGAAGGAGGAGATTAAAAATTAAGTATGGGCCGAAACCGGTTTGGCTCAGTGGATAGAGCGTCGGCCTGCGGACTGAAAGGTCCCAGGTTTGATTCCAGTCAAGGGCATGTACCTGGGTTGCGGGCACATCCCCAGTAGGAGATGTGCAGGAGGCAGCTGATCGATGTTTCTCTCTCATCGATGTTTCTAACTCTATCTCTCTCCCTTCCTCTCTGTAAAATATCAATAAAATACATTTAAAAAAAAAATTAAGTATGGTCTGCCATGCTATAGAAAGGATTTGTGAGTGGATTGGGTGTGAAATTTGAGAGAAGGAGAATAGTCAAGGATGGCTTCCCATCCTGAGCAGTTGGTAGAATGGACTTGCAACTAATGAGACGAAAACTGGGGAAGGAGCAGTTGGAGCAAGAGAGAGAGGAAGATCCAGGTTTGGATCTGTCATATCTGAGATGCCCATTACATACCCAAATGGAGGTGTTAAGGTGATAGTTAAATATGTGTCTGGGTGACAGGAGAAATCCAGGCTGGATAGCTAAATTTGTGGATCAGAGTATAGGTGGTGTTTGATAGATGGTATTAAAAGCTGAGGATGGATGACACTTTAAAATTCTTAATAGATGGCCATTAAAAAATAATCTATTTTCCAATAGTAAATAAGAAATATCTTTGGCTGTTGTTCATATAATAAAATGTCTATAAATGTTATGTGTAATGTTTATAAAATAAAATGAAAAACAAAAATATATAATAATTTTTACTCTTACAGGATTGGACCGGAACAAATTAATAAATTTGGCCTATTTGCTTGGAAGTGATTACACAGAAGGAATAGCAACTGTAGGTTGTGTTACAGCTATGGAAATTCTCAATGAATTCCCTGGACATGGCTTGGAACCTCTCCTAAAGTTTTCGTAAGTTCTTTCTTAATTTCTTTAATCCAGATGTTCGTATAAATACCCAGATTAACAAACAGAACTATTATTTACACCATGAATGGTTATAAATCATTGTTCATTAAGAAAATAGGAGGTACTGGTTGGAATTGCTAGTGTGTTTTCCCTATTCTAGAATTTCAGTGAAATTAGAGACCCTGTTTTTTAGTGTTGCCCAGGCTTATCCTAATTCAGGGATACAAAGCCAGTCCTGTGGTATTTCCTAGGTGTACAGAAATTGCTGCTTTATTTATTCAAATATTTATTTAGACACTGTCCTAGGCTGGGATAGAAAAGATGACTAAGTGATGGACCATTACAGACCATACCCTCAAGCAGTTGCCATGCTCTTGGGGGTGACAGAGAAACAAACCATACTTGTACTGCTGTTTGTTGAGTGTTCTGAAAGAGGTCGGCCAGAGAGGGGAATGGAAATATAATGCCAGGAACTTTATATTAGGCACTGCTGTCCTTTTTCTCACTGCATGTATACTGTGATGTATTTAGTGGTGAGGTGCATTCCACATAGAACCTAAAGTTGTCCTATACTTGAGGCACACTCAATTTTGGAGATTCTGAGATGGTAGTAGTTATGAGTATGTCTGTGAAAGTAGTTCTTTGATAAGGTTATCCCTTGATGACATCTTTAAAAAAATTGAACTATAATTCACATACCATAAATTTCATTTTTTTAAAGTGTACAATTCAGTGACTTTTAGAATATTCATGAGATTGTGATGGCATATTCTAACCATCAGTTGGTCATGAAATACTATTTGGCAGCAGACGATTTAATGATTTTTTTTTTAGAATTCTCTCCAGTTGTATCTCCTGTGTTTGAAAAATTCTGGGTTATTCTGGTCTGAAGAATCACTGATGAGAATTAAAACTTAAATACAAAATTGTTTTAATGACTGCTGTCCTCCAGTTTTAGCACACACACAAATGTATTTTTCTTTATGCTTTTTATCTCTTTTCATATTTTATTATTGTTGAGGAAATATATACTGGAGGTAAGTTATTAGGTGGCTTATAGGTCATGGTATTTTAATAACTTGAAAAACTACAAATCACTTTTTTATACAAATAATACATAATAGAAAAACTATAAAACATGTATTAAAAAGATTACAGTTAACATTTTGGTTTATGTCATTTCAGACTTTACACAGTATACTTATACATTTAATATATATACATTTGACACTTGAACAACACAGATTTGACAGCATGAGTCTACTTATAAGTAGACTTTTTCAATAACTATACAGTATTCCAGGTTTTGTATCTGGATTCAACCAACCATAGATTGAAAATAGCATTTTCAATCTGTGTTTGGGAATTGGTAAATGCAGAGGGCCAACGGTATGCATTGGGTCTAGGGCATCCACAGATTTTGATATCCACAGAGGATCCTGGAACCAGTCCCTCTTGTATATTGAGTGACGACTATGTTTAATTTTTGGGGAGTCAATGGTCAACTGTATACTCAAACTGTAAACACATATATATTCACTTAAGTGTGTTATTTTTTTTTTACAAGAATCTTATATACTTTTTATGTTACCCATAACTCATTTGGTGATAAAACAAGGCATACATCAGTGTATAGATTTCTGTCTTTGTTTTTAATGACCCCATAATAGTCTTTTGAGGTATAATGATTTATTTATTCAAATGCCTATTGTTATTTTTTGAAGTATACACAAATACTGATTTGAGTGTTCTTATCTTTGGGTTCTTATCTGATTAGTATTTTAGGTAAGTGAAAATGATATGCAACTTTTCATTTTGGTGTCCTAATTATTAGTGAAAGTGATTTTTTTCATGTATATTGACAATTTGCATCTCTGACTTAGTGTCTAGCCCAGGGGTGGGCAAACTTTTTGACTCGAGGGCCACAATGGGTTCTTAAACTGGACCGGAGGGCCGGAACAAAAGCATGGATGGAGTGTTTGTGTGAACCTAATATAAATTCAAAGTAAACATCATTACATAAAAGGGTACGGTCTTTTTTTTTTTTTTTTTTTAGTTTTATTCATTTCAAACGGGCCAGATCCGGCCCGCGGGCCGTAGTTTGCCCATGGCTGGTCTAGCCTGTTTGTGCCATTTTTCTTTCAACAGTTTTTGCTCGTTTGTTGCCAGTTGAATGGTCTACATTTTCAGTTAGCTTTAGCAGTTTATGCCTTTGGTCTTCCAGCTCATCATTGACAAATAAGGGCAGCCTATGCAGTGCATGGGTCAGGAGGGTTAGGACGAATGAAGCGGGAAAGAGCAAGAGAAGAGGTGGAAGAGCAGTAGAACTGAGAATGCTGCTTTGATTTCTTCTCTGCTTTCCCCTTCTCCCAACCAGACTCCCCCATTACAGTAGTGGTTCTCTGGGCCTGCAGGCTGAATTCAGTCCAGGTGTTCTTGATTTGGCCTATACTGTGTGCTCTTCTTTAATTTTGAATTGGCTATCAACATTTAAGTTTGGGGAGATTTCACAGAAAATTGTAACTTTTTTAGGAGGAAAAGGAGATCTGAAAATACTGGCCCCAAATCCCAAATGAACCCCCAAACAGCTGGGTGGAGAATAGCTGTTCCACACTGACTTGGACAAGGCACAAATATTTCAATTTTATCACCGTTGCTACCACTCCCTATTGTGTTCCCCACACCTAAGCTGATTGGCAGATGCCATCTTGCATCTTTTGTTAAATGCTTGGCTCTCTTGCTTGAAAGAGGGGTGATCCTTTTGGTTTAAGGGGCTCACCCCATGTTGTGCTGATTCTTCTAGCAAACGATTATGAAGACTGTTTCAGAGACGAAATTCAAACAGAGTTGGGAGATATATAGGTATCTTATTTCTCAGTGCACTCTTGCAAACAATATTGTAAAACTGATGAAGAAAGATTTTTTTCCTTTTGCCATTTTTTCCCCTTTTGCATTTTGATCCTACAATAAAAGTCTGTAGTTACCCTTTTTAGCGCTAGATGGCACTCCTGCATCAGTGAAGTGAAACTGGCTGAGCCAATAAATCTGAGTTGCTAATAGGAATACATATGTGAAGCAGTGGAACGTGAGATGTAGAGGTTTTTTTTTAGTTCTATTGAATGTATAGACTGGTGAAGGTTATATTTATGTTTTAACTTTTATACCATTTTAAAAAACTGTATAAATTCTTCTGGTTATCTGTTGCTGCATTATAAACCACCTTCAAACAGCAACTGTCATTAGTTTTGGTCATGAATCCTCACTGGTCAGGCCATGTCTGTGTGTGTCATCTCTGTTCCATGTTAGGGGACTAGAGCATTCACTTGAGATGACTCACCTACATGGGTGGCAGTGGTGCTGTCACCTAGGAGCTCGGGCATAACTGGGCTGTTGGCCTTGGACCCTCTCTATCTGGACCTCTTTATAAGCTGGGCCTTCCTTTGAGCTTGTTAGCTGCTTCCAAGGCAAATTACCCAAGAGACAGGATGTGGAAAGTAGTCGCTGAGGGCTTGGGACTACTTTAGTCACAGAGCCCACCTGGCTCAAGGGGAGGGGATGTGGATTCCAACTCTTGAAGGGAGAGGAGTCAAAGAAGATGTGGCTATCGTTAACTTGCCATAATAATTGATGTTCAAAATGGAAAAATTGAAAAAGTATAAAGAAGAAAATGGACTGCTGTATTCTTGCTTATAGCATTGCCTAGCATTGCCTAGCATGTAGTGAAATAATGTTGCCTAAATAGTTCTGTTTACCTTTTCTCTCTTTCTCCACTTTATACATTTTTTTTCAAAATTGGGATTATAATATATGTAGAATTATGTCCTGCATTTTTAAAATGTCACATGATCTTGGCATTTTTTACATTTTATGAAATACTCTTAGGTCTATTATTGTAGTTAATGCAAGGTAAAAAATACAGGTAGGTATATTACTTCCATTTTACCTGAGACCCAAAAAAGTTGACTTTTTTATGAGTTTGGGCTCTGGAGGGAGATTGTCAGGGTCTGATTGTATCAACCCCACCTGTGAAATCTTGAGTAAGTGACTTCTCTTTGAGTTCACTTTCCTTGTCTGTGAGGTGAGGACAATAATAGGTCTGTACTTATGTGATAGTTGGGCGTGTAGAACAGTTAACACAGTGCCAAACAGAGTAATCTTTAATCAGTGTTTGCCATCATTATATATTGTGGTTAATAGCACTAAAAAGAATAAAACTTGTATTCTGTAGGTCATAGGATTTGTTTTGAAGTTCAGAATTGAGTTTTTGTTTTCTAACTTTAAGTTGAGCTCTTCATCTCTAGTGCATCTACTATAATGTCTTACTGCTTTATAAAGACTTGTTCCTTTGCCTTACAGAGAATGGTGGCATGAAGCTCAAAAAAATAAGAAGATAAGACCTAACCCTTACGACACCAAAGTGAAAAAAAAGTTACGGAAGTTGCAACTCACACCTGGCTTTCCTAACCCAGCTGTTGCAGATGCTTACCTCAAACCTGTGGTGGATGACTCCAAGGGATCATTTCTGTGGGGGAAACCTGATCTTGAGAAAATTAGAGAATATCCTTTTACTTAAAACATAAAGGAACATTGAGCCAAATTTGTGCTTTGGTTTAAAACTTATGGAACATGAACTTGGATTTCTAAATATTTCTTTTTTCTAAGACACTCGTTTTAGATCTTTTTTCTCTTTTTTTCATGGTAAAATGCATATAAAATTTATATTCTTACCATTTTAGGTATACAGTTCAGTGGTATTAAAACATTCACATTGTTGTACAACCATCAGAGCCATCCATCTCAACTCTTTTCATCTTTTACAACTGAAGCTCTATACCCATTAAACAGTAATTCCCCACTCCCTCAGGCCTGTCCTTAACCATTACCATTCTACATTCTGTCTATGATTTTGACTATTTCAAGTACTGCATATAGGTGGAATCACACATGATTTGTCTTTTGTGACTGGCTTATTTCACTGAGCCCAATGTCCTCAAGATTTACCCATGTTGTAGCATGTATCAGAATCTCCTTTCTTTTAATTATATTGTATGGATATACCACATTTGGACACATGGGTAGCTTCCACATTTTAGCTATTGTGAAAATATCCTTAGTGTTAAAGAGGATTTTATTTGAAATAAGTAGTGATAGAATTCACAGATTTAACAACATACTTAAGTATGCTGAAAGAATGGAAAGAGATTTAGTTTTTTTATTTTTATTACTGATGTTCCTTTCTGCATTTTGGATAATCATTTGATTAGATGTTTTAAAGTTTGCAATAGAATTAATCTAACTACAGTTTTTTTCTTTCAAAGAAATACGTATATCTGCAACTTGTTTTTGTTTTTTAAAATATATTTTTATTGATTTCAGAGAGGAAGGGAGAGGGAGAGAGAGAAATAGAAGCATCAATGATGAGAGAGAATCATTGATCGGGTGCCTCCTGCATGCTCCTTACTGGGGATTGAGCCCGCAATCCGGGCATGTGCTCTGGCAGAATCGAACCATGACCTCCTGGTTGATGCTCAACCATTGAGCCACACTGGCCGGGCAGCAACTTGTTTTTATTCTGTGTTCACCTTTTTTCATAGTCATGAGTGTTTGATGTCCTAAAATGAGAATTGGTATGTTTTATCTTAGAGGAGATTGAAAGAACATAGTGCCAAATGATTATGGAGTAATTTGGTTTGTTACTCCTTTTTCTACTTTTAATCTTCTAAATGTGAAAATCTTTGGAGATATGGAAAGTAAAATCAAGGATGGGTTTTTGGACCTTTTTATATATTACTTATTTAAGTATCTTTAGAAATGTGTATAAGTCTTAACTGCCTGCATATTTTGTCAGCGGTATTTTGGCTGGAACAGGACGAAGACAGATGAGTCTTTGTTTCCGGTATTAAAACAACTGAATGCCCAACAGGTAATCATGGTGGCTCTTTTCCCAAGTTCAGGATAAAGAGTATTCTTTTATTTTAGGGCTGTAACATACATTTTTAAAATGATTAAATGAGAACAGAAGAAAACAAAAGAAAAATTGGACTTTGTCTTCATTTTCTAGTGTCACCGTTAGGGCTGGACTTTGTGCTTTCGATTCATTCTGACTTTAATGGATTGTATACTGAGGTGTTTATAATAAAATATTTTATACTTTTAGAGCTATTTTTATTTTTAACAGGTCTAGTAAGTGTCCAGTCCAAAATAATTCTTTTTAAAAAATATATATTTTATTGATTTTTTACAGAGAAGAAGGGAGAGGGATAGAGAGTTAGAAACATCGATCAGCTGCCTCCAGCACACCTCCTACTGAGGTTGTGCCTGCAACCAAGGTACATGCCCTTGACCGGAATCGAACCTGGGACATTTTCGTCCGCAGGCTGACGCTCTATTCACTGAGCCAAACCTGTTAGGGCCAGTCCAAAGCAATTCTGACCATTAATGTCTTAACGCTCTTTAATTCTATGGAGGAATCATGAAAGGTAGAAGTTCAGTCATTATTGTATATCAGCAGGAAAGATTTTTGAGGAGAAAAGAGGCCTTTGTATGGTCCTCAGTTTCCCTATGTAGGTAACTGCATCTCATTTATACATGAGTATGTTCATACCCAGACAGAAACCTTCTCCCACCCCAGAGAAAACCCACAAAACATACATACAAGTAAACCATGCAGGTAGAAATGAGCCATATCCTGTAAGATATATGTTTAAGTTAAATCCTTTTCCATTAGGATCAGTTAATTTTGAAAAAAACATAAAACTTAGACAACATTTCCAAAAACCAATTCCTGTTGTTTGATTACTTTCTGTACAGCTTCGTTGTTCACTAGCAGACAAAAAGGCTAGTTGGCTTAGTGACTGATTACTACTCCCTAATTTAAGATAACTTTTCTTGTAATGTTTTTCTCTTTTCATTATAGAAGTTAATATAAGTTTATAGCTCCAAATTTAAAAAGTAAGGAATTAAAATTACTTGTTATATACATTTTCTAATAGAGATGTTAACATTTAGGGTTTTTTTACATTTCCTCTTTTTCCTACATATATTTATTAATCATATATCTAACCCGCCTCCTATTAATGTACTTTTCTTTATGTCTTGCACAATTTTTATAATTTTAAATGACCAGATTACATTTTATCAGAGATTTAACTTTATTGGTTCAGTTCACTTAGTGGACCTTTAATTGTCAAGTTTTTAGAATGATGTGATGCACACATTAGGCATAACTTTCCCAAATGTAACTATTTTTAAAGAAAGTCTTCCTAAAAGTGACATTCTGATCACGTTGACATTTTGATCATGCTGATCAAAAGGCATGAATATTTTTATGCCTTTTAATATATAATACTGTGAATTTGCCTCCTAAAAGTTTTGTGTGATGATAATATTTTTAAAAGGAGATAGCAGAATTTAGATCCCGTGAAATTTTGTTCCTGCATAAGAAGAGGATATATTTGGCTATTGTAAAATATTTAACTTTCTTTGAGTGCTAGGAAGGGATTTCTTATTTGGCATGTGGACAGAGGAATTAGTTGATAGAGGTGATGCACATACTGCATTAAATATGATCTAAAAAGTAAAATTTACTATTAGTGATTCATTTGGGAGAAAATTGGCTTTTGAGAGATAATGAATTAATATTCTCTGAAGGGAATTTAATGCTAGTGATCAAGGTAGAACTCTCAGATATGCATTAGAAACTTTACTTATTTGTCTGATTTATTTTTATTTTTTAGACCCAGCTCCGAATTGATTCTTTCTTTAGAGTAGCTCAACAAGAGAAACAAGATGCTAAGGGTATTAAGAGCCAGAGACTTAACAGAGCTGTGACGTGTATGCTGAGAAAAGAAAGAGAAGAAGCAGTTTCTGTTGCCATGGAGAAAGAATTTGAGTTCCCTGATAAGGCAAAAGGTAAGACCCAGAAGAGAAGCATAGCAAATAAATGGAAAGAGTCCTCAAGTCTGAAAAGAACAAGGCTTTCGGATGCTACACAAGAGAGTAAATGTGGTGGGTTTTTGGGGGAAGACTACATCTCGCAATCATCTGATGCATCCTCAAATGAGGATGCAGAGTGTTTATCGTTAATGAACATGCAGCAGGGAAAAGCAGCTGGAGAGGCAAAAATCAGCTCTTCAGATTTGCAGAACACAGTGAAACCTGATCCTGTAAGGGACGAAGGTGCCACTACAAGCAGCTCTAGTGAAGATGATGGAGAGAAAACAAAACCAGTCCTGGTGACTGCCAGATCTGTGTTTGGGAAGAAAAAGAGGAAACTGGGAAGCACAAGAAGGAGAAAGAAAAACCTAGTTTAAACGTGTATTCTCTGTAATTGGATACAACTTAACATTCATTGTGAGGGAATAATAAAATTAAATGTATCTGCACAGTCTTTGTATTTTAAAAATATGGATGCTTGCCCTAGATGATTTGGCTCAATGGATAGAGCATCCGCCCGAGGATTGAAGGGTACCAGGTTCAACTTCAGTCAAGGGCATATACCTTGGTTGCAGGCTCAATCCCTGGCCCAGGTGGGGGTGTGTGTGGGAGGCAACCAATTGATGTGACAGCAATGTTTCTCTCAGTCTCTTTCCCTTCCTTCCACTACCTCTAAAAATAAAAAATAAATTAAAAATAAATTAAATAAAAATTAACTTGGCACGTATTTATTTTTCAATGTGTTACATTTTTCTAGTGTTTTTTTTTTTTTTTAATCTCGTTGAATATTTCCTTGTACTCACAGGCTTTGTTCATATTTTTGTTATTGTATAATGCCTGATGCTTTCTGACAACATTAGAAAAAAGGAAAAAGGATTTATATTGATCAATATTCACTCTTAATACACATCCCTCTGACTTTCCAACCTAGATGAGGAGAAAAATATCCTCATTTCTCATTTCACAGCAGTGGCAGTTACATTCACCTACACAATCTTGTCACCCACTGCTTCCCATTTCCCTCAGGGACCACTTAAAAGGATAGCAAGACAGAACCTCACTGCTGCAGCATACTTGAGTATATCCGCTGTGATTAGGAGATGTTAATGGGGTGCATGATTCCACCTGTGAGCATTACCTGTGTGGTAACCTCTGTACTGTGATGTTCTCCTTTTAAAGTTCTTCAGTTGTTCCAAGCTAACTTCTGTGTAAAGGTGGCTGGGGTGGGAGTTGGGGTTCAGGGCTGTAGTTGAACAGGTGTAGGTGGGTTAACTTTATGAGTGGCTTCTAGAGGTTGATTATTGTTAACCAAGTGGCCCAGCCAAGGTAAGTTTGTGATTACTGTGCCTTTTCTGGCATTTTGGTATTTCCATCTTTATTTCCTTCCCTAAGTCTTTAAATAGTTGAAAATCTTCAATAATGGAAGCTAAATACAAATAAATACCTTTCAACAATCTTTGAATGACCCCTGGGTGCTTTTTATAGGCTCTCATTTACCTTTCAGCCCAACTCCCCAAATACTTGGACTACAGCTGCTGTTTTTCTTTGCTCACTATTTATCCTTTTCTAATTTGAAATATGTCTTCTGCTTCTGTCAGTCTTCTCTAGCAGCCTTCTAAAGTAAAAAATAACTTCCATACAAATAAACTTGTCTTAATGCTTCTTTTCTGTGGAGGTATTTGAAGCAGAACAGTTTTGGGAGTGGGGCAAATTGACTATGTTTTTCTCATTTCTCAAAACTGCTTATAATGGGGAGTTTTCCACATATGTGTTTGTAGGTAGGATAATCATCATCCTGCTAAAGAAATTAATTTTGTTGCCTTTGATTAATTTACATTTGTTTTGCCCTGTAATAGCTGGCATGAAGGCTAAGCTGCTGTAACAGAGATGTTCATATACAGAGGCCTGAACAAGCTGGAACATTACCTCTTACTCAGTGGTCTGGCCCATCTGAACTGGTTATGCAGTTGTGTGCCGTGAGTCATTCAGGTCTCAGGTTCAGCCATTACCTAGTCTTACTTGAGTGGTCAACTGGGTCACACTACATCTGCATTTCTACCTGCTGGAAGAGGAAAGAACCAAAGTCCAGGGCAAGCAGAATGTCTTATGTTAAAGGTGACTAGAAAAATCACTTTCACTTCCATTCTGTTGACCTGAATTGAGCATCATAGTTAGAATCTACTAGAAATACTAAAAAATGTCGTACTCAGGAAGAGGGGGGAAAGCGATATTCAGGACTATTAGCTTATGCCATAGGTACAGTATTTCTAGGACAGTTTGATATTATATCCTTTTTTCCTCAAAACTTGGGACCAAGGTATATCCTTTTATAAGGGAAGCACCTATTTTTTAATATGTTTTGATTTCATAGAGGAAGGGAGAAGGAAGAGAGAGCTAGGAACATCAATGATGAGAGAGAATCATTGGCTGTCTCCTGCCCCCCCACCCGCCACGGGGGATTGAACCCACAACCTGGACATGTGTCCTGACTGGGAATTGAACCGTGACCTCCTGGTTCCTAGGTCGATGCTCAACCACTGAGCCATGCCAGCCGAGTGGAAGAACCTCGTAGAGATGTTAACCAGCTTTACCAGATTCACCCATCTAGTATGAAAATGTAGCCTGAACTAAAATCTAATTTGAAATTCAAGATGCTGTTTTACTTATAAAATAGCCTATTTAAAACAAACTTCAGCAAAGCAGATTTATCATTATTCAAAGCAAGTTGGTATACCTATAACTTATTTAGGATGATTACCATTGTATACAGTTTTTTCAAAATTATCTTTCAGCTCATTAATATTTTCATTAGCTTTCTCTGCATTTGCATCTATTGAGCATTATATATCTTATATTTTCAGTTCTATTTGGCTCATTTTTATAGATTCCAGTTCTCTGGTGTAATTCTTGTCATCAGTTTTTGAACATTTTAATCACCATTACGTTGAAGTCTTTATAAAACAGCTACAGTATCTGGGTTACCTCTGGGTTTCTATTGTCTCTTTCTTGGTATGGCTAATAAATTTTGTCTGAATGCTGGACATTGTTCATTAAAACTTGTAGATGGCCTAGATCTTCCTCTAGAGAGGATTCCAGAAGGTGTTCTGGCAGGCAGCAGAGGGTAAGGTCACCTCATTTGAATATGAACTGAGTGAATTCATATTCTTTGTAAGACTACATCTTCTAGTCCCCCCCCCCCCACTCCCCATTTCCTAAAAAGTAATTTTTGAAAGCTACCACTGACAGCCAGGTGTTTCTCTTTTGAGCTTTGCTTTGCTTTTACCCACTTTATGCCTAGAAAATTAGCCTCTTGCTCTAAGCATCTTACTGAGCAAAATATCTTGAGTGTCATGTCAGGCTTTCTTCTCTGTCTCTTTCTGGGGTCTTGGACTCTCAATTCTTGGCTGCCTTGCCAGCTCAAACACTATTCTTTTGTCTTCCCAGTTTTGTGTGATTGCCTTAAACTCTTCTAGCATCCTTCCTTGTTGTCCTCTCTTTGACTTCTCAGCCTCTTTGCACCAATAATCAGCAAAAGTATGGAATTCTTATCTGTCTTAGCAGCTCTCTGATGCCTTCTAGTTTGTGTGTGTGTGTGTTTGTGTGTTTGAGATAGGAAGAGTTTAAAATCTGCTTTTCTAATTCTCAATATAAGCAGAGCCATAAGCTACATAAAGCTGGAGGCAGAAGTCTCTATGTCTTTTTTAAACAGTGCAATATAATTAAGATAATCATTGTCATATCAATTTAGATCACAGATTTTCAACTGGTGTGCTGCAAGAATTTTTAAAACATTGATACCTGACCTCTCTCTTCTTAGATTGTAAAAAAAAAAAGAAAAAGACAATAGGCAACACAGTAACCATCCAGTGTGAATGAATTAAAATTATACCTATTTTGCCCAGCTGGTTTGGGTCAGTGGTTGAATGTCGACCTATGAACCAGGAGATCATGGTTTGATTCCCGGTCAGGGCACATGCCCAGGTTGCGGGCTCGATCTCCAGAAGGGGCCATGCAAGAGGCAGCCAATCAATATTCTCTCTCATCATTGATGTTTCTATCTTGCCCTCTCTGAAATCAATAAAAGATATTTAAAAAATTATACCTATGTTTTGTCAGATCAGCAAAAATATATTTTTTTGGTGTGTTGCAGAATTTTAGTAATTAGTTTATGTGTGCCATAAGATGAAAAAGATTGAAAATCACTGCTTTAGATGATTTAAGAATTCTGCCTCTTAGGAAATCCATCAATGAGGTTTCATAACCTTTAAAATAGATCCTTGAAAAAGGTGATTTTTATTCACTAAATGAGCCTTTATTCTTGTTTTTAAAAGAGCCATAAAGAGAGAATGCCCTCTGCCTAGAATTAACCGCCTATGAATAAGTTTAAATTGTTTAGGAATTTGCAGTTTCCAGAATGTTTTTCAGCTATTACACTCATCCAACAAATATATTGTGTGTTATTTATAATCCTGTTTTATAGATGAGGAAGCCAAGAAACACATTACAATAATGCCTAAAAATCACAAGCTGATTATTGACAGGAATAACTAAAATTGGGCTCCCAGACCACTAGTCCTGTCCTATATATTAACTTGACCTCAATTCAACTTTGTATACATTATGGTATGTAAAGTATTTCTTAGGACCTGCATTTACACTCCTGAGTTTATTGAACTTTACAACATTGGTTTTGTTACCCATAATAACTTACTATTAAGGGTATTTTCATTAAGACTAGAACTGCCATATGATGAAATAAATCGGATGGAAGAGGACAAAAATGTATTTCACTTATGTGGAATATAAAACAAAAAGTAACAAATGAGCCCTAACCAGTTTGGCTCAATGGATAGAGCGTCGGCCTGCGGACTCAAGGGTCCCAGGTTCGATTCCAGTCAAGGGCACGTACCTTGGTTGCGGGCACATACCCAGTAGGGAGTGTGCAGGAGGCAGCTGATCGATGTTTCTCTCTCATCGATGTTTCTAACTCTCTATTCCCTCTCCCGTCCTCTCTGTAAAAAAAATCAATAAAATATATTTTTTAAAAAAGTAACAAATGAACTAACAAACTTGTAGAGACAACAGAATGGTGGTTACCAGAGAGAAAAGGGGGTTGGGTGGGCAGAGCGAAGTGAGTAAAGGGGTCAAATATATGGTAACAGAAGGAAACAAGTTCAGGTAGTGAGCATGCAATAGAGTGCATAGATGTTCAATTATAATTTACACCTGAAAATTATTAACCAGTTATCCCAATTAATTTAATTTTAGAAATATGTTTTCAGTGAACAGGGATGTTTATATGTACTCTTAAATGCTACTCTGCATGCAAATGTGCAGGTGAACGGGTGGACACAACCCTTAGCCTTCCTATTCTGAGTAGGAAGGAATCCTGGTAATTTGATTCCTGCGTCCAGAGCACAACAGCACACATTCAAAAACATTCTGATGCTAAGAACGATGCTTGCACCCAGACAGGTGACATGAAAAATACGTAGCCTCGGTTTCTCAGAATGTCGTAACTGAAGAGTCTTAAATAACTCTTGGCATCAAATTAAAAGATGGATCGCTTCACCCAAATAATCTTCAGTCACTTGCAAGAGTGATTTATATTCACCTATTTAACCTTAGCTGTATTCATGAGACACTCACATGGAATATTTCTACTGTTCTTCAGGCCCCTTATTCATGGGCGTTCCGACCTCATTGCTATATAACCAGAGGCTCTGAGCTGCAGCTGTCAGGATCCTAATCCCTTCTGCAAGGACTCGAGGAATTGCTGCCAGTGTGTACAGTAGCAAACTGCGTGCTCGCCTTTCAGGCACCATCAGAGGTCTCATCAGCAAAACAAAAGTTGTGGATGATTCTTTTTAACCTTCCAGAAATTCAGCTAACTCGTTTAGGTATGTCCAGACTTAACATTTAGTAAATGTTGCCCTTCAGGCAGACACGTATAATAAAGAATGCTCTCTTTGATGGAAGAGAAACTAAAGTGGGAACAAGATGTGTGACCACTCTTGCTGTAGTTTAGCCATGTAACCTCAGGCATGTAATTTAACCTTTGGTTTTTCCTTATTTGTAAACTGTAGGGGAAATAATTTGTCTTTTAACTTACTGTAAAGAAAATGTGATGGCTATGAAAAATGTTTTGGGATCCTTGGAAGAAAGGAGTGCTATAAAATTAATGATAGTATAGTGATTATTATGACTTAAAACTGAGATACAAGATCAAATCATTGCTTTCCAAAGTTGGAATAACAGTTCGTTTAAGCTAATTCACATGATATGCTCTATTTGAGAGGCATAAAATACTTTAATCTCTTCAGTTTTAAATATGTTTGCTGAGATGGTATGGATTCTTTAAATTAGAAGCTACTCAGAAGACCATTTGTCAGGAGGGCTATTTGACATTGGGTTTGTGCTAATGACACATTGATGGGAACCATGTGAACTTTGAATTTATTACTATGTAGGAAGCTTTATTTTAGATGAATACTATGGTTTTTACTACACTGAATGAAACCAATTTTCTCCCAATGCTTTAATTACCTCTTTTAAGATTGCTATGTAACTAGTCAATATAAAGATGATGTCTTAACCAAAGGACTTGTATGCATACATATAAGCCAAACCAATGGACACAGACAACAGGGGGATGAGAGCATGAGGGGGTGGGGGAGGTTGGGGGCTAATGGAGGGATGAAGACACATTTGTAATACCTTAACCAATAAAGAAATTAAAGATAAAGATGATGTCTTTCTTGTGATAGTTGAGTTAGTCTCTGGTGAGGAATGTTTTATTTCTCCAGTTGCTTCTAAAATTTCTGACTCTGAAGCCTTCGTTTGAATTTTTTTATTTGTATTAGATAGATTGTGTTTCCATGGTATTCCTTAAAGCATGATTTATTAATATATGTGATTTTAATATGTTTCTGCTATATTTGAAGTTAAGCTTTATTATGTAAATATAAAAGCATTCAACACATTTTGAATTAATTGCTACTATTTGACATTTTAATGTATTATTTGCCTAGTTTTCAAGCAGTGATCAGGAAAACATCAATATATGGTCATCCATTAGTTCATCGCTTAATGGATCCAGAAGCTCAAAAAGGTAAATTATTTTATGTTTCTTTATGTAATTTGACTAATTGGAAGATGATAAACAACTAACAGAACACAAAACATTACCTTTTCAGTGTTCATTAGTGTCTTAAATAGAGCTAGGACTTTTATCAATTACATATTATATCTTGGCTTGTGTTTGCTAACCTGTAAATATCTCTAATAGTGTTCAGTGTTTACTGATATCCCTATAGTCCTGATGATATGTTAAAGGTAATTTTGAAGACAATAAATTAAATATATAGTCTTGCTAAATATCTATTTTTTTTAATCTGCAAAAATGGAATAATTCTTTTCCCAAGTGCTATACATGTGATTGTGATCTCTGAGTTACTTTATTTCAGATAAGAAGATTGTAAGGGAGATAAGAAGTCTTATGTAAAACTACATGTTTTTACTCATGCTTGGATGAAAGATGATTTTATACTATGAAAACATTTCTCACCTTTGTTTATGGTCCCTCTGATGTATTAGTTAAAGGTAAATACATACAGAATGTAATTGACCTCTTGGTGAAAGGAAAATTTAAATTTGAATTCTACTACCAGTGTAGTTATTTGAAATGGACCCACCATTTTTACATCATCTTAAATAGCGTGGCTTTGCTGGATTATGTCATATAATTATCCCCATTATTTTGAGATAAAAAGTGCAGACATACACTCTTGCCATACACTAGAAGAATTATTACCATGTTTTTGTAGTATACATTTTATTATTTTGGCTTCTTTCTCTATCTCCTTTATCTATACACTGTGGATGTTTTCTAAGAACTATAGTCCTATTTTTTCCTTTTTTTAGGCATACCAGGTGGCCTCTACCTCGGTGAGCATATTTCTAGGCCACAAGAGGAGGGTGTATGCCCAGTGTTGGCAGCCTATGTGGCTTAAACACTAATGGTTTTCCTGTAGTGGTTTTTGTAAATCTAAACATGTAAAGTTGTAATCACTTAGAGAATCCAGCCATTTAGGTGATTTGAATGAAGAAGAAATTTCTGTGCAGTTTATGAATACAATTACATCATTATCAACAATGCTTGGTATCATCTGTGTGTTCCATAATTTGGCACATTATGAAGGAAACGAAAGAAGTTCAAGGTAAGGTTGAGATAGAACTAGTATTAAAATATTTTACAACATGAATAATAAAAAAAGTTCAAATCTTGCCACATTTGCCTTATTTTAAAATTATTCACTGTCTCTAATTTTTATAGGGTAAAATCAAGACTTAGCATGACATAAAGTGTTTTATTTCATGTTACTATCACGACTTACTATGGCCTCCTGGTTCATGGGTCAGTGCTCAATCACTGAGCCACACCAGCAGGGCAATTATATTGCTATTTAAGAAACATATCAAACTATAGTTGGAAGCAATATGTTCAATATATCAGTTAGAGTACCATCACACATATAATTACTAAAGATTCATTCATCAACACATTTACGTGAAGTAAACTGAATAAATATATGCTAAATAAGACTAATAAATTTCCCACATATTGAATAAAAATAACTTAAATATAACAGTCTGTATCCGATATCTTCCAAAGTAAGGTTTAAATGTCAAGTTTGAATGTCAATTGTTGCCCTTAGGGATGGATGGTCTACTACTACTTCAAAAGCTCACAAATTCATACTTGACTCCTAGACCCAATGCTGCTCCTTAGTTCAGACTCTTTCCCATCTTTTGTCTAGATTATTGTATGTCTTCTAATGAGCTTCTAATTTAGCCTTCAGTTGCTGCTGCCAGAGGTAACTGTTTGTTTTTTGTTTTATTTTGTTTTTTCTTATTGAAAAAATCTGCCCTTTATTTCTTTTTAAAAAATTTATCTTTATTGTTGAAAGTATTACAGATGTTCCCCCTTTGACTCCCTCCTCCCTACTTCCTCAACCTCCCCAGGCCTTCACAGCACCATTGTCTGTGTCCATGGGTTATGCATATATACATTGTAGAGGCCTGGTGCATGAATTTGTGCACAGTGGGGGTCCCTTGGCCTGGCCTGTGGGATCAGGCCAAAACCGGCTCTCTGACATCCCCCAAGGGGTCCCGGATTGTGAGAGGGTGCAGGCCAGGTCGAGGGACCCCACTGGTGCACAATCGGGGCCAGGGAGGGATGCAGGAGGTTGGCCAGCTGGGGAGGGACTGCAGGAGGGCTCTAGGGCATGTCCGGCTCATCTTGCTCAGTCCTGATTGTCTGGAGCCCAGCACCAAGCTAACCTACTGATTGGAGCGTCTGTTGGTTAGTGCACGTCATAGTGACTGGTTGACTGGTCGACTGTCTGCCCCCTGGTGGTCAGTGCACGTCATAGCGAGTGGTTGAGTGGCTTTAGCATATCATTAGCATATTACACTTTGATTGGTTGAACAGCCGACCAGACACTTAGTATATTAGGCTTTTATTATATAGGATAAGTTCTTTGGTTAATCTTTCCCACCCCTTTCCTCTGAGAATCCTCAGTCTGTTACATGCTTCCATGTCTCTGGATCTATTTTGTTTGTTCATTTTGTTTGTTCATTAGATTCCACATATAAGTGGGATGAGAGGTAAGTTTTTAAATATCAAATTTGATCATGTTATTTTTTGTTCTAATGATCTTTATTGACTCCACCTCACCATATAGAACAAAGGTCAGCATTGCCCACAGATCTGATCTCACCTGCTTTTTCAGGCTTATTTTCTATAACACCCCAACATGCATCCGCTCCCCAGATATATGATGACTCTCCTGTTTCCAGCCTTGGTGGATGTTTCATCTTCCTTGACTTTACTTCCTTCCTTTTCTGCCTGGCAGCCTTCCTCATCCCTCCAATTTAGCTCAAATGTCTCCTTGAGAATGCTTCTCTAATCTGACCAACCAGTGATGTTTACCATAGCAATTTGGAAATATTTCTTTTATTGCACTTATTATACTTCACTGGCATTTGTTTATTTGTCTCTTCCCACTGTGATCCCAGCAGCAGACTTTGAGTCCAACTATTTTTCCCCCCAATGCATCCTGAGGAGTCTCAGTAAAAGATGAATTTTTTTCTTCTTAAATGTAGTATCACTTAATCCACTTGATTAAAGTTACAGCCTCTGTAAATTCTTGAAATTAAGTAGACATGTAGACAAAAAATATGTTTGTGAAATCTCAGGAGTTAGTTTCAACATAAGGACCCAAATCTTGACATTACCTCGGCATTCAGAATTCTATCTTTCAGGCTAGCTTGTGACCATTTACTAATCTGAAAATATCTTTAACATCTTTCTTCTTTTTAATCTCTAGATATTTCTTAAGAAGAATGACATTCAACTTTGAATAGAAGATTCAACTGAATGACAGTCTCTTTCATTTAGTTGAGGGTTTTTTACTTTAAAATTTCTGACAGGTTTTCATGACAGCCCTCTAATGGAAGCTTAAATTCACTTGTCATAGCTGTTAAGGACGTGTGTGTGTGTGTGTGTGTGTGTGTGTGTGTGTGTGTGTATTTCTGTGATCTGACCCTTCCATTTATTATTGTTGATACTAACCTTAAAAGTATAAAAAAGAATATAGATGAGCCTTTATTTTTGAAGGCTTGCTGCAATTCAGCCTTGGAAGTCAAATCTCTGTAGGATTTTCCTCTTAAGAAAATCATCATCATAATGTGGCAAAATCTTGCTAATTTTCACTTCATAATTAATTCTCAGGAGAACAAGAGCACCTGGTAGATTTTATTCACTATCAGCAAAGATTTTGTAGCAGGAAATGGTGATAAGATTTTTTTTATATCAAAAAGCATTAAAATAGATAAGCTCAAGATAGCAACATAGTAATACTATCTTGATTATGTTTTATTTACAATCTGTTTTAATATTTATGTTTCAATATTAAATTCATTAATAAAATAATACACTAAGATTATAGTAGATAGCGTTTATCTAGAGGTACAGATATGAAGAGTTTTCTGCTTTTCACAGAAGAAAGCCAAGATTCATCATTTTGTGTAATATTATCCAGTTTTAGTTATTTGTCCTGGGGCCTGAGTGCTAGGTAACAAGGAGAGAATATGTATGTAAAAATTATTATTCAGAATTGTAAATTAAATTTCATTGCATGATAATGCTATTAATTTTTTTGAGACAATTCCTCTTCAAATCTACTCATTTATTAATCATCTCAAGATCCAATCCCATATTCAACAAATAACTACATATGCACTTTGAGAGACATGATTTTTGTGTATTATAGTGGGAGCATAGATTTCTCCCTTTTACTACAACAAGGCTACTTTAGGGATATCCTCACAACGTGCAGCTCTTTTTATTAGATTCCAGTTCAGAGGTTCTTATCCTCAGCCTTAAATGGGTGATGATATTGTTAAAATTTAATATCAAGCATGTCTTTTGGTTTAAATAAATAACTAATATTAAAATTATGACCTCAAAATCTTTAAATAGAAGTTAATGCTTAAAAACAGCAGTCAAAGTTTTAAGGTGGAAATAATTGTATGTGTGTCTATATTTTCTTTTAAAATCTCACATATCTAGACAAATTATGTTAAGTAGCCAAGTTTAGTATATTTTGGTTTCTTTGTATAAATTATGCTAATTTTTACCTGTTACTTCTTGTGGAATGACTGTAGTATTCAAATAGCATTTAAGTACAAAAGAGAATATTGATATAAAACATTGTCAATTTAATTTTATTCAACATGATAATGTTTTATATATTACATGTGGTCATTATAGGCATGTAACTAATTTTGAATTACCATTTCTAGTAGGTAGAATTGTGATCTTTTAGAATGGATATGCAATTATTAGTGGTTATTGTTGTTTAATGAAATCTCTTTGAAGAACCTTTATTTTGGGGTATAAGTAATTTTCGTTTATAGTATACTCACATATATATTTCAAGTCTCACTTCCTTATAAAGATAAAGATGTGGTCATTCTTAAAAAGAAATAACTAACTATTTTAGGAAGACAGTAAAAAAATAGGAATTATTTGTTGACACACTGTACTTTTTAGAACAAAAACACTAATCTGGTGAACTAACCTTTAAAAGAAAGTGCAAAGTCAGAGATGTCACTTCGTTGCAGTAAATATTCACTGGCAAAGTTTTTATATCAAAGATTGGAACTTTAGGAGATGCTCCTGGGATTTAGTGTACTCAAAAATCTATTAAACCCTGATACCTTAGGTGACTTGTCAAAGAAGTGCTGCATTTACAAGGAGTTTGCAAGGAGGCCCAAGAGGGTATATTCAGCTAAAGGTCAAGGAAGCAATTAATGTTCTCTGCTTTTCCCTAAAGAACTTCCACAGCAAACATTACACCCCACCCCCCACCTCATCTTAGCAAGGCAAGTGAATATAGTGGAGTCCATCGATGTTTGTGGTCCTGGTGGAGTGGGATTGTAGATTGGGCCCTTCCTGTGGCATGTAGTGAAGTTGGAATTCTTTTGGGGAATATTTGATTTTGTATGGATCCTAAGCAGGACTCTATTAAGGGGTTACATAACTTAGGACAGGAAATCATCTATGTCTTTCACAGGTTGACATGGTGTTTCATTGTGCTTTCCTTTTACCTCCATTTTAACAGTTGCCATATAACATTGCATTGTCCATTTGTCTGTCTCTCTCTGCACATCTGTCAGGTTCACCAGCACAAGGACTGTATCCTTGAATTTTTTCATTTTCAGTCACTAGACAGTGGGTAGGGATTAGTAAGTACTAAGTGAATACTTGTTGAATGAATAAATGAATGCATATCTTAGCTTGTCATTTGAAACACTTCTCTCCAGCCTACTGAGGAATCTTACTCCCCGTTCCTTCCCTTCCCTTCCAAAGTCTGATATTTCTCTCTCTCCACTACTGGCTTCCTTTTGTCTACTTTTATTTACTTTCTCTCCTACATTTCCTTAGCACATTGTATCTCTATGATAGCACTTCTCCACATGATGTCATGTAGTTCTTTTATGGAGTCATAGGAATTTAGTTGTACAGCGGCCTAGTCCAGCTAGACCAAACATCAACCTGGTGTATCCCTAATATCTAGAAAGAATAGTCTTCTGGTTTCTGTTCGATACCTCCTGGGGACTAATTACTTACTACCTTTTGAGGTGAGCCCTTTTATTTTAGAAAAGGTGTGATTGTTAGAAAAATGTTAAAAATCTGCTTTATTGTAATTATTTCCCTTGGGTTCATATTCTGCTCTCTGAGAACATCACACACACACACACACACACACACACACACACACACACACTCCAATCTCTTCTATTTGCTGCGCCTTCAAATTTGTGATAACTCTTGTGTTCCCTCGATTGTTTCTTCTTTCTGATGAAAATGCTGATCTTCCAAAACTGCCTTCATAGGGCTGAGGGTCAACAGTCCTCACCTCCCAGTTGCTGCAGTTTTCAGTGGCCCTCTAAACTGGGGCTTTCCAAACTGAATATGGGGCTACAAATATGACCTGAGCACTTTCAAATAGAACAGAGTTCTATACATCCCTTGTTTTAAAATTATATTGTTAATAAGGTCTGGTTATTTAGCTTTGTTGATAGTTGTATTTTTATTTTTGTCTCATATTGAGCTTGTGGTCAATTAAATGTATATATCTTTTCCCCTCCACAAATAAGTCATCCTGAATGTGGACTTTATATGTGTCTTTATCAAATTTCATATGAAGTCCAATCCACTGCTATAGCCCATCAAGATTTTGTTTCACATTCAGTTTTCTACTATAATTCCCCATTACACATATCATTTGAATATTTGATCACACTATTATCATCAGTCAAACCAGTAACAAAAATGTTAATCAGAGCAAAGCTGCAAACACCCATTTATTAGAAAGGTGGGAGCCAAAGCCAAGTACGTAAGGGGGTATTGTGGAAAAACGAACTTACATCCAATTCTTCATGGGGTTGGCATGAGGTACCTCATGTATTACTGAAGTTCAGACAGTTGTGTCTATGAATCTGTACTTTTTCCCGAGGGCAGAACCATGTCTGTCTGGCTAACAGCTGTCTTCCATCATCTAGCTCAGTGCCTGGCACATAGCAGGCCTTCAATACATATGGTTTTGTTGAAAGAGTAAATGGAACAACCGAGGAACAAATGTTCTGGCTTAAGGTTTTGTTTGTTTGTTTGTTTTTTGTGGCTTAAGTTTTTAAAATGAATCTTTTCTGCCTATCTCTTTCTCTTTTAAAGAATTACAAACTTGTTCCTTTCCTTGGTTTCTTTAGTCTTTATTTGCCACTTTCTCTTCTGAGGAGAATTAAGCCTGGATTCATTAGTGTTGAGGTCAGGGAAGTGGCAAAGAACAAAGACAAGACTTGAAGGACCAGGGATTGGTGTAAGAAAGAAATAGTTTCTCTATTAATTCAAATCTTATGTTAGATAGGTTAAACCTAAGACACACTTTCTTTATGAAGCCATCCCTGAGTAACCTCCACCACAGTGATTTCCCCTTTTTTATTTAACTGTAGAATCCACCCCCAAGCATTATTGCAGTATAATTGTATATATTTAAGAGGTACAACTTGTTTTACACATTGTGAAATGAATACCATAATCAAACTAGCATATCCATCACCTCACAGTTAACATTTTCTTGTGTGTGTGTGTGGTGAGAATACTAAAGGTCTACTCTCAGTAAATTTTAAGTATTTAATACATTATTATTAACTATAGTTACCATGCTATACATTAGATATCCAGAACTTATTCATCTTGTGTAACCAAAATTTTGTACCCTTTGATCAGCATCTCCTCATTTTTCCCACCTCCCAGTCCCTGCCCATTCTACTCTCTGCTTCTATGAGTGACTATGGAATTTTCAGTTGTACAATTCAATATCGCACAATCCATTATTTTTTATTACATGCTGATCTTATTTTATCATTTAGTTTTATAACCAAAATATCATGAAAGCTATAACAACAATAATAATAACAATAATATGTTGAGCCACATGTAATCGTAGACAAGGTGCTAAGTGCTTTGCATGCATCATCTTATTTCCAATCTCCCAACACTTTTGATGTATGTGTTTCTATATTTCCCATTTTACAAACAAGAAATTGGAGGCTTAGAGAGAGGTGTATATCTTGGTCCATAAATAGTTTGTAAATTCTTTGGGACTATTAAGTTCTTTTTAAATTACATCTTTTTAGTAGTTTAGTTTGGAACAACCGAAAAAGGAGCTCCTTTTTGGCTCCTTTATTTACAGGTTGTATGACTCTCTGAGTCCTAGTTTTTTATCTGTAAAAGTGCAAAGAATAATGCATATCTTATAAGGTTTGTTGCAAAAATTACATGAAATATAATATACAATGTATTTAACATGGGCTGACATGTGAAAAAAGTGCTTAGTAATTGGTAGTTAATGTTGCTAATTAACTTTGTGTAATGTTGTTGATGTTATAGTACCATGAGTTATGCCCCCCCAAAATAACATAAACATAAGTAATAATAAAATAGTACAAGAGTATATTGTTGGATGGTGTTAAATATTTTTTATCTAAATAAAGGCAAGTCATAAAGGATATGCATTACTGAAATAACTGAAAATGCATTATACAGCCAATGTGAATAGTTGGGTTCTTATATTCCATCACCAATATTTCTTTTGTCCTAGTTGAACGTATTGAGTTGCCTTAAAATATATTGCTTTTAAAAACTATATTAACATTTGTTTCACATAGCATTGTGGAAATGGACAGTGGTGATTTCAACTTCAGTGAAATCAGAAAGATGTTGTCATCCTGATGTATGGAATGTTAGCTTACATCATGGTCATTTTCAAATAGTTTGTTTACCTTACTAGTTAGTACATTGCACCTAAAGCCAGTGAATATTCAAAAGTAACTTAGAATAAGTAGAAACATTGCATTTCCATCAGGCTTTCCTTTTTCATTATCTTACTAACACAACTGGTACAATTGCCTTTTTCTTTTCCTTTCAGGAGACAGAGAAGACAATGATGACAAGGAAGTGGTTGCAGAGATCATGGCAAGGTGTTTTTTTCCAGCTCTAGTAACAACTATCCCCTGGGAAGGATTTCATTTTGTTGGTCATGAGATTCGAATTACTGAAGCCATGGATTGTTATGGTGCTGTTGTTTGGCCATCGGTATAATTTCATACAAAATTTGTTACATTTCAATTATTTTCAGTCAGTTTTGTTCATTATTATGTACTATTTGGAAAAAGAAAATAGGTTTCATAGTTCTATTTTTTGACCTCAAACAACAGTAAAATTTAGAAATCGTGAAATTGGGAAAATGCTTCCACCAATTAATTCTATTTCTGACATGTAGGATTAATAAAATGTTGTTTGCATCTTGAGAGTTTTGTGACCCTAAGGGTTTAGAATTGTGAACATTTTATTTCTCATTTAAATGGCGCATTTGAGTTAACCAATTATAATGAAATGTTTATCAATGTCAACATGGAGAATAGTCTAAAATATTGTCCTTTACTAATTGTCCCATGAAGGGTTCAGACCCCTCACTGCTATTTGCTCCAATCTCACACATTCTTTGAAATGATTATTATTAGTAATTGCTTTCTTTAAAGATAATCAACCTAAGCAACTGAACTCCATGTTTTTAGTTGTCTCTTTTCTCTTCAACAATCCCCAAAGACTCTTTCTAGCCTAAATGTTGAGTCTTTGGAGGATGTACTTCTGTTGATAATTTTCTGTAGTTCTATCTATGTAGATACACACACATACATATCAAAGCATTAGTGGGATATTTATTTAATAGGGTTTAATTAAACATCAGTTATTACTGGACAAGTACTATGTATTTTTTCTTTTTAACTTTCATAGGCCCTTGTTCTATGCTATTTTCTGGAGACAAATGTAAAGCAGTATAATATGGTTGACAAAAATGTGATTGAAATTGGAGCTGGAACAGGGCTTATTTCCATTGTGGCAAGTTTACTAGGTGAGTAGGTATTTTTTATTATTTATTTATTTATTTATTGCTGCAAAAAGCTTTATTGTTTCATTTGGTCCGATGCATAGGAGAGGGCTTCAGGGTGGTCAAAAGAATGGATAGTAATTTCAGGGAGAGGCTCAGGTAAAAGCCAGACACCAGGGGAATGCAGAGGGGCCCCTCAAAGGCCTCTGGGCTCCAAAGGCTCCTAGTTGTGCTTGAGGGTGAGCCTTTTGAAGAGATACACGCCCAGCCTGGGGGCCGGCTGTTAGTCAGGTGTCACCCATCTTCTTGATGAATTTCACCTTCTCATCCAGGAAGTGGTTCTCCAGGAAGTTCACAGAGCTGAGGGTCTGCATGGGTAGAACCCAAGGCATGCAGCTCTAAAAGGGCCTGGTTCAGGTTCCTCTCCAAGGTCAGGGCAGCTTCCATGGCATCCTGAGTTTTGCCCACTCATCTTGAGAAAGCTTCAGCACATCCTGGAAGAGAATGCGGCAGCCACGCTTGTTTTGCAACTTTAAGAGATGCTCAGCGCCCTGGCGCTTCTTCTCTCCCAACTCGTGCCCTCTGCCTCAAGAGCCACCTCTTCCAGGTTGAAATAGAAGCCCAGAGAGAGGTAGGTGTAGGAGGCCTGCAGATGCAGGTTGGCCAGGCGGTTGACTGCAGCCTCCACCTCGGTGGAATAATTCTAACAAATTTGGCAGCTCACAGTTGTTCAGCAATAAGGAGTTAAGGTAGAAAAACACACAGAAAAAAGAACGGGTGTGTTGGCTGGTCCCGGAGGTTTTTCTGAGGGTGGTGACTGGATAAGATGCAAGAGAGTGGCCGGAGGCTAGAGAAGGGGCATCCCTGGTTCTGTTCTGTCAAAAAACCGTTGAAGCAAGAGACAGATCCGGGACTGCCGAGGGCACTGCCTAGGTATTTTTGGTTGAATAGTGATTAAAGAATTTAATGATCAAATATCATTATCTGCTTTAACTATCCAATGTACTATAACCTTGGCCTATTTTTAATTCCTTAATTGTTTGAATGAGCTTCATCAAGACACTATAAATTTTTAAGTCACCTTACTGGTTTCTTTTAGAATTTTCTGTGAAGTTGTATTAATTCTTCTCAGGGAATGCTAAGTCACAAATGTATTCTAATTTTGAGGTGCACTTAAGCATCCTGGCTGGCTGCTAGAGGAGATGCGTGAAATACTAAGTATAGGCAAATTCGACTCCTGCTGACTCTCATATTCTTTATCTAAATTTTAGCCCATTTTAACATTTCCATGTAGCCATATATTTCTTTTGGGTTTTGAAGTCCTCTGCTTTTATGAAAAAGCCCCTGTTAGAATAGAGAAGGAATATTAGAAATCATGTCTGCTTTTAATTTTATGTATTTGCCCTTGGCTTTATTTTCGCAGTCAGTTTCATTCTTCTTTTGCAACCTCTTGTTCTCTCACCAGAATCTTATTTTCCAGTTAAATGTGTGATGGTCTCTATGCATGCTTCAGCCTGTTCTAGTTAAATCTTTTTGTTGTTGTTGTTACAGATTGATTGTTTTGATTTAGCTGCCTTTTCTGATATGTGCTACCCAAATCTTGATTTCCTTGGTCTTCAGAAGTGCACACCCGCCACTCTAAAATCTTGAGAAGAATTCAAGATTTAGAAATTTATAACTTTCTAAAAACTGGGAAAATATAGGACCCTTGAAGTCCTCCTCAAATATATATAATTTCTCTGTCCTGATAGAGTCATCATTCCATTTTGTATGGGTAGAGTCTAAGGCACTATTGAAGGCTTCCCTATCTAGGAGCAGAATTTGTGTTTGGGAAGTCATTTGTTTCATTAAAAAGAATTATCCTTTCAGTATGCTTGTCTATCTAGACAAAAATATCAAAAGATTGAAGCTTTCTTTAGTCAGTATTCAAAAAATGGTAGTGTTCACTTCTCTAGACATAATGATATTAATAGTTAGATATTTTACACTCACTGTAAGTAAGGGTGAATTCCTTTTCTTGGGGTTTAAAAAATATTTGTAGAAAATGACAGAGCACCCACATTAGAGTTGAAGATTCATATTTCTGTGATTCTATCAATGATGTGCATATTTCCCTCCCATTTTAATATTTTCTACAAAATACAATTAATGGTCAGAGGAACTTGCCATTGGGACTAAAGAATGGATTCTAAACTGGTCTGGGCTGAACTAGACTTCTCTTCCAGTTCTGCTTTCCCATTGCTTACTGAGTCTGTTCTTGTCTGATGAAGTGGAATTGACCAATCCTAGATTTATTTATACATTATTTTCAGGCTCTGCTGCTGCTCAAGGTTTACTTTAAGGGCCAAATTTTATTGATTATTGGACCTTCCAATTTCCTCCTGAAAATGACCACCAGTATTCACTTTTAATTAGGAAATGGTTTATGTTTTCTTCATCTGAGCATTCTGTTCTGCATCTGTGATCTTTGGCTGCATGAACACTATATGCAGCTTGACTTAAAATTAGGTCAAGCAGAAAATTTGTGCATAAACATGAATGTCATGATACTGTCAATGTAATGCCATTGAAAAGTCTTTCCTCCCCCCATTTCTCATATTTTAGTACTTGCTATTCAATGATAGGATGCCCAGTGTTGTATATACTTGTTCAGTCTCACAGGACTGGGGCTCGGAATTCTTTTAGGGAAGAAACTGGTCATCTTTTAACAATGACTTTTGATTGTTCCAGCAAGGATACCAAATCTTTTTAATTTCCTTTTCTCTTGATTAGTTTTTCCTAGTATTTAGTAGATAAATAGAAAATAACAGCAGCAACAACAAAACAAAGAAAAAAACATTGGAACAGAAAAATGGAGTGCAAAAGGACCATGGGAATCGAATTTTTTAAAGGGGAGGAATAAAACTGCCCTAGCATCATTTTTGAAAGGGATTTCTCTGCTGTGTGTACTGACCAGTTTTTTCCTTGGGACTAGCAGTTGTGCAGAATTGCAATATGCATGTAGGCTTGAAGCTGGATTGTTTACTTTATCCCATGAGGGTTACTTTTCTACTGCCCTTTGCTTCACAGGTGCACATGTGACTGCCACAGATTTACCTGAATTACTTGGAAACCTGCAATATAATATATCCCGAAACACTAAAATGAAATGTAAGCATTTGCCTCAGGTTAAAGAACTCTCCTGGGGCATAGCTTTAGACAAGAACTTCCCCAGGTCTTCCAACAATTTTGATTATATCCTGGCGGCTGATGTTGTCTATGCTCATCCTTTCCTGGAAGAACTCCTCATTACCTTTGACCATCTGTGCAAAGAAGCTACCATCATCCTCTGGGTCATGAAATTTAGGTTAGAGAAAGAAAATAAATTTGTAGATAGATTTAAGGAGTTGTTTGACCTAGAGGAGATTTCTAGTTTCCCTAGCTTGAATATTAAGCTGTATAAAGCTATGAAGAAAAATCGAAGGAGTGCATGATATCCTCAAAGGAGGACTTGGAAAGCAAAGGCCATTTCTAGTAGATGATGACTTTAAAGAAGACCCTGGATAAGATGATGCAGCACTGACTCTCTCAAGGGGGAACACATGGGCGCGTGCACACACACACGCACACAGACACACACACACACACACACACTTACACACTTGCTATATCCAAGATAGCAATTTTCCAATTTATAGCACATGGGTTTGGAGGATGGCAAAGCCATACTATGTGGTTAGGACATTGGTTAGGACAGTGTCTGCTTTTTTAAATTCCTATTTCCATAGAACCCTTTATTATTATGATCATTGTAATAAATAGTGCAATTATTGTTTTTTTAAAAATATATTTTATTGATTTTTTACAGAGAGGAAGTGAGTGGGATAGAGAGTTAGAAACATTGATGAGAATCATCAATCAGCTGCCTCCTGCACACCCCCTACTGGGGATGTGCCTGCAACCAAGGTACATGCCCTTGATCAGAATCGAACCCAGGGCTCTTCAGTCCCCAGGCCGACACTCTATCCAGTGAGCCAAACCGGCTAGGGCAATTATTGTTATTTTTAATGGATAACTGTAGAATGGTGGTTTTCAATAATGATATCTCAAAAAAACTTACATTATTCTCTCGTTAGAAGTAAAGAAATAAACTATAGTGGGATATGCAAATAAATCTGAATGGTAATAAATATACCATTACCATAATATAATGGTAAATGTTAGATTATTGTGGTTTTCGTTAGTGCCAGCCTATAGGCAGTCTATCATCTCTGGTTGGCAGGGTGGGCCTTCAGCACAACCTCTGAAATCAATCAAGCTTGTGGATTTGAGGTTATAGGCAAGGACATTTCACTCTGGTAAATGAAAAATGAATGGAAGCAAACATAAAACAGTTGGGATTTTGGAGGAGTTATTGCTTTATTTTTAAGCCAAGTACAGTTATTTTTCTTTTATCACAAAAACAGAAATAAATATAAAAACTTTGGATTGAAAATACACATAAAAAGATATAGGCTTCAATCTCAAATAACCAGACAAATGGCTGTTTAAAGTTTAAAGCTCTTCTGATGAACATATAGATCTACATATTTGAAATCCTATGTGATTTTTTTTTCACATGGGCCTTAAGAGATTAGAAGTCTGAAGTAATTAAAGTTAGTGAAAGGAGAGCAAAAAATTAGAATTTTGTTCCATGTAACAAGAGTGCATTGGTTGGTAACTACTCTTCAGTGTCCCCAGGAATGTTTGCTAGGCTACCACAGTGCCCTTGGGTGATACTTGCTTCCTAAACCCAGCTCTTTTTGCTTTGCTGGAAGTTCTCAGTTCACTCAGGGTGAGTAGAGCTAAAAGGATTATTTCCTAGGACCCTGATCTGTAAGCCAGATGCAAGTATGTTGCCAGTGGATTCTTTGATATGTGCAGTTCATAGGGCCCTTTCTCAGTAACTCCCAATATTTACATAGTTTTCACAGCCTGTTGCATACATAATCCTTTAATCCTCACAACCATTCTAAGAAGTGTAAGTAATGTCATTATCCCCACTTCACAGATAAAGAAACTGAGGCTGAGAGCTGTGAAGCCACTTGCCCCAGGCTATGCAGCTGCAGTGGCAGTGATGGGGCTCTCACGCCCTGGCCTGTTTGAGCACAGAGCCTGTGTTCTTCTTACTTACTGCCTTTGTGTATAAAAACCAGTAATTTTTACTCTTTTTTTTAAATGAGTAATTTCTTCAAAATGAAATACCCAGAAAAGTAAGCAAATACATTAAGGAGGACGAGAACTGTTCCTCCTTAAATCTTTATCTCTTTTCTTGCTTTAAGTGGATGGTCAGGGTAGTCCCATTTGGAAGGTGACATTTAAGCAAAGCTGGAAATTGGTGGGAAAAGTAGCAGTGTAGATATCTGTAGAAGTGTGTAGAGGGGGCTGGATTGTGTCAGATCTCTGCTGTTGTCTGGGTTCTCTGGAAGAAGACCCAGAGGTAGAATTTGATGTGCAGGTCATTTATTAGAGACTGCCTTTGGGATCAAGACCTGTGGAAAGGAGCAGAAGCATGTAGGACAAAAGTAGAGGTCAAGCCACACTGCTGGCCCAACTATAGCCACAGCTGACCTCCACATGGAATGCTGGACCTAGAGTGGCCTTTCAGAGGTGTTCCAGATTGGGTTGAAATGGCTGGGCCTTGATAGCCCCTTGTCATTCAGTCACTGCTGCCCTGAGAAGGCTCTGTGAACTTGGGTAAGGTGACTCTCTTCAGCAGACCTTGACAGCTGCAGACCATCTGCCATCAGCACTTCCAGAAGCAAGGTGATAAGTCATTCTGCAGGGTGTCTGGGCAGTACATCACAGTGTTCACCACAGCTTTTAAGGTCATTGAAAGAACTTTGGCTTTTCTTCTGGTGCCAAAGGAACACTGAATGCTTTGGAGTAGAGGAGTGAAAGCATATCATTGTATGTAAGGACCATTTCAAGAACATTTCAAGAACATTTAGGAAGGGGCAAAGAGACCTGTTAGGAGGCTGTGGCAGCCATCCAGGCAAGAGGGGATGGTAGTCTGCAGCAGGGAATGTGCCATGGAAGTGGTGAAAATGGTCAGGTTTATTATTTTATTTATCTATTTTTTAAAAAATTTATTGATTTTTTACAGAGAGGAAGGGATAGGGATAGAGAGTTAGAAATATCGATCAGCTGCCTCCTGCACACTGTCAACTGGGAATGTGCCCACAACCAAGGTACATGCCCTTGACTGGAATCGAACCTGGGATCCTTTAGCCCTCAGGCCGACGCTCTATCCACTGAGCCAAACCAGTTAGAGCTGAAAATTGTCAGGTTTAGATGTGTTTGGAAGCTAGAGACAATAGAACTTCCCATCATATTGAATATGTGTGTGAGAAGAGAGAGGAATCAAGGCTGAATCTGAAGTGTTCGGTCCAAGCTACTGGGCATGAAATTGGAGGCATCAACTTAGAAATGGTGTGTAAAGCCCATTCAGGGAGCAAGAGTGAAGAAAGCAAGGACTGATTCCTGAGATTGAGCAACATTAAAAAATTAGACATAACTGTATTCGAGATTTTTTTTCAAGATTCTGCCCGGACCCCAAAAAAGTTACATTAGTATCTGTTAACTCTGAGATATGTATTTTCTACCATGGTGATTTTGAACTGGTCCCTAGAGGTCCAAGATCCCTCAAAGTTGCTTCAAGTGTCTCTAGGAGTATTTTAAGTGCAGCAGCAGGAATCTAGGGATAACAAGAGAAAAAATGGCTCCTTTCCTAAAAATGCTTGAATATCTCTACTAAGCTATTTTTAGGTAGGATAAAGTGTCCTTACTTCAAAGACTGTGTTAGGACCATATGGTTCATAACAGCTTCTCTTTCTCTAAGTGTCAATCTGTCAAACATGGTGTTCAATATCCATTGTTCTATTCTGTTTATAGCCTTCATTTGCAAAGTTTAACGCCCACCCACACACATTGTGCCCCTCCTGTTTCACTTCATTCTGTGTGCTTGTCTACTTTTAACTTTTTGCTGTAGTTTCTCCGCACTTTTCTATATTCAATTTTATAATAATTTAATTTTAAAAATATAATTTGAGTAGACTTTTTCTAACTCATAGTTTTTCTTTTATAGCTAGGAATTAAATTTGTCAACTTTAACCCAAGAGAATTATGCTGTGAACTTTGTCTTTACCTGACTTCTTTTGAGAAATTAAACTATATTACTGAAAACCTCATTCAATTCTTACAGTAACTTTCTGGGTTTCTAAAAAAATAAATATACCAATTATCAAGGTTTAAATAGAGGTTATCATGGTATAGTTATTGCTTAAAATTTACATGTTATGTACATGTAATACCCAGTGTTGTGCTCCAGAGTGCATCAACTGACTTTAGGAAACTAAGTGCTATTTTAGAATGAAATTCTTCTGTCTTAGAATTTTCTGACATATCCTATTTTATTTGTACCAATATTTTATCTACTATAATTTTAAAAAAATTGGTTTTCATTCTTTATTTATATTCAGTTCTCTTTTTGGATAAAGAATTGTAGCATTGGGTGACTTCCTAACAGATTTGGAGCCAACTGTGTACACTCACTATTTTGAAAGAAAAAAATGAAGAAAAACAATAGAATGGAATCTCCTCCACCTCCCTTTAAATCCTTACATTCCAGGAGCTTGGTTCTTTCTGTGAATGCCTGGTCTTTATAGACAGAAGATATGCCCAATTTGTTTTAAGCAGTGCCATTGGCATGTGAGCTGATACATGATTTCTGAATACTTTTGGAAATAGAACATGTCCTCTGGATAGGATTTTGATGTACTAATTTTAAAAACAAGCTGGAACCCTGGGTTCTAGAAATAAAAGACAAAGTCAACCACAAGTATATCAGCTAGGCAATAAAATTGATAAGCTTAGGAGAAAATTAATATTCTGTACCTCTTCATTCAACTCCGTTTTGGCTTAGTTTTCATGGAAATCTGCATGTGGAGAAAGTAAAAATTGTCAAATATTGCATTTTCCACACCGTATTATTATCCTATATTATAAAAGGCTAATATGCAAATCAACCAAACAGTGGAACAACTGGTCACTATGTGCATACTGACCACCAGGGGGCAGACGCTCAATGCAGTACTCCACAGCAGTACTAAGGATGTCTGACTGATGGCTTAGGCCCGCTCCCCACGAGCCGTCAGTCGGACATCCCCTGGGGACTCTGGGACTGCAAGAGGGCGCAGGCTGGGGTGAGGGACCCCCCCTCAAATGCACGAATTTCATGCACCAGGCCTCTAGTAATAATAATAAGAAACAAAATTGAGAATGGAGCAGGAAAATACTTTTACAAAATGTAGGGGGATATGGCAAAGCAAAAATTTAAAAACCATAGGCATTTGTGAGTGTGTGTGGAACTCATTTAAAAAAAAATCCTTATTATTGAAAATATTACATATGTCCTTCCCCCCCACCCCCCATTGGCCCCTTCTGGAACTCATTCTTTATATCTTCTTTGTGAAGCCAGGAAATAGTTCACAAATGATTTCCCCATCCAGGTTTTGGCGTTTTTGAGTTT